TAATAATTATAAATAAAATATGAAAAATTTGTTTTTTATTAATTATTTGACATATATTGTTAATATTGATATTTACTCAAAAATATGTATGAAATTTCAATATAAGTATGAACATTTCACCGTGATGATATTAGTTTGTTAAAACATCATTAGTTAAATTTCTAAATCTTTTATTAAATATATTTTTATTTTAAATTTGTTTTTCTTTTTAATGAATTGATAATTTAACCCTTTAGCGGCGATGAGATCCACTAGTGGGTCTCACTATAGGGGTGATTCAAAAGCATATTTATCGTAGAAACAATTGAATATCTGCGCTATACTTTGACTAAAGGGACTGATTTTCTACTGCTGATAGAGGAATGTTGATAGCTCATATTGATAAGAGAAATATGGATAAAAATTGTGTTGAAGTAATATACTTGCTATAAATAAAGTAAACAGCATGGTGGCAGATCTAGGATTTATAAGATATGCGGTGCTTCAATAGAGATGAGAGACTGTTATGTTCAAAAAACGTGTTTTGAAGCTCATTTTTAAGCTTTTCTGTTAGAACGAACTGAAATTTTTTTTTCTGGAATGCGAACGGTCCTCCAGCACCTCTCCTCCTTAAATCCACCACTGATTTCATATGAAAATCTGTTCAATCGAGGAAAAAACAATGAAGAAAAGAATGAAATTTTTCTTATTTTATTCAATCTAAAACAAAGTTCGAGCAAAGATTTAATATAAATAATTATCTATCGTTTGAATTAGTTTTTTTAAGAATGAAGTAATGAAAATAAATTTCCAATTCTGTTATGATAATATTCTATAAATAGAAGTACTTGATAGATCTTCTAAAACTCATAGAATGAAATATAAAAAAGAAAAACAAAATGATAGAATATTTATTGATTATATTTAATTAAAATAATTTCATAAAAAATGAAAGATTTTTTTTTTTCGTTAATAATAATATTAATATTCATAGTTTCGTATAAAGTTCTTTATAATCAATATAATCACCATAATCGGATTGCCATAAATGAAGAGCTTTTTGATAGAGTTGTTTAGCTTCTGATTTTTTTCCAGCTATTTCACAAAGATGAGCTAAATCAGTAAGAAAAATTTTTGGATAAATTGATGACTGTTTTAAATGGACATCATATTGTTCAATTAAAAGTTGACCTAATTCAATAGCACGATTCATATAATTAATACGTTGATTTTCATTTAAATGATCATGATTTAAAAAATTTTGATAAACAAAAAAAACTTTTTCTCGTTCTTGTAATAATAATATAGAATTTTGATGTAATAATTGTTCAATATTTGCTAATTTATGTTCATAAATTTCAATTGATTGTTCAGTATAATCAATAGTTGATAAATTAATATAATCAATTGTTTGTTCTGTTTGACAAGATTTATGTTGTCCAAGACAATTAACAATTAAAATATTTGGATCATGAGAATATTTTTGTAATACTAATGAATTTCCACATTGATTACATAAACGATTTGTAGCTGATTCTTCATAACGATTGCGTAAATCATCATCACAATAAATACAATGACAATTAAAAAAAAAGAAATTAACAAATATTCGACGTTGTCTTCGAGTTGGAACATAAGTTAATGGACTTGTTAATCGAAAATCATTTTGATGACGATAACTAACTGTTAATTGATAAAATTCTGATGTTGTTTGAGGAATCGTTTTATGAGGATCAGAAAATTTTAAACACATATTTATATCATATGAACATTGAAGTAAATCTGGTTGACAACTATGATTAAAACGTGATGTTGTTAAATAAATAGCCCAACCAATAGCTACTCGTCCATGTAATATATTTTCAATAAAACCAACACGAAAACGATTGATTAAAATTTTTCCAAAAATTTCTAATAAATCAACATTATTAAATTTATTTTTAAATAAGAAATCAATTTGTTTTTTAGTTGTTAACCACATATTTAAATGTCGATTTGAATGAATAATATCATCTCGATGTCCTAAAAGATCAGACCATGGTCGACGACGAATAGATTTTGGTAAATCTATACATAAATCATCTTCTGGTTGACCACCATCCAAATTTAAACGAGTTATTACTCGAGCTATCATACGTGCAATAACTTTTTCTTCAAATTTATTTTCTTTTGTACTATTTTTATAAGCTTCACATTCTAATTTATGATATATATTATCTTTCATTCGACATTGTTCATTACAATAAACAAATATTTCACAATTAGGACATTTATTTGAAGCAGTTTTAAAACATGATGAACAACGATTTGTCAAATATGCTTCTTTCAATGATGATATATATGGAGCTTCAATAAATATTGACATTAGTTGTTTTTTGTTTCCTTAATTCAATTTCAATTGATACTATAGGTCAATAAATTCACTTGTTTTAGAATAAAACTAAAAAATAGAATAAAAAAAGCATTGAAATTTTTATTTGAATTTAATTTTCTTCGAATTATTTTTCAATTAATAAACTATTCGAAAACAAAAAATCAATTTTCTTCAATTAATATACATTTAGAAAGAAATCGATTTTTGATAGTCTCAATAATCAATTGTAAACTTGTCGATTTATTTTAAAGAAAATCAAAAGCGAAAGTGCACGTTTTGATACTGAAACTTCTTAATATTTTTTTCCTTTAATAGAAGATCTTTCTTTTTTGAAGAAAATAGACTAGTTTTATTGAATTCAATCAAGGGTTGCTTTATCAAAGCTGAAGAATTCAAATGTCGAGATAATTTGCTCGAAATTATCGAGTTGGTTTTTTTTTTTAAGTTATATAACTCTCGATTTCTTACGATTCAATCAGCTTTTATATAATCGATCGATTGTTTTAAAATAAACCTTCGTTCATCGAAATATCGAATTCGACTATTTCGCAATAAGGCATCTCTAGACTGAGATTTCTTGATCCTTAAAACCTTGCATAAAACTTTTTTTTTTTCGAAACAATAGATGTTATTTCATTGAGAAAAAACTCAATATAAAAAAAATTAATTTCATCGTAGTTATCTCTTTCAATTTCGATTTTTTGCTTTCGAAAACAAAACTACTACATCAGTACTGTAACAGTAGCAAAGGGCAATTTTTGCACCTATTCAGGACCTTGTGATAAAATATAATGGTCAGATAATACACTTATCCACTTGAAGAAAATATTTCATTTTTGATTTTCTTTTTTGTCTCTATTATTTGTTGAAAAGTGATGAAATATTTATAGGTCTCTACTCATAGAAGATTCAGGTATTCACTTACGTTTTTCTTCGTGTGTCCTACACAAAACAAGTGAATTACGATCATTGTGTTTTTATGTCGTTTTTGTTTTTTATTTGTTGTAATAATGACTATGCTTTTATGTTATCTTGTAGTTGTTGTTGATAACGTAAACAGTCAACACTCAAGAACTCGTTCGATATAAAAGAAAAACATTGATATATAAAAGATTTTTTAATAAATCTATATTTAAATGTAACATGAATAAAACTTTGTTTCAATTTCAATTCTAATAGATAATTAGTTATATTTATTCGGAATTTCATTACTTTTATTATTATAATTATGATTGTTTCGATTTAATTCATCTTATTAATAAATTAAAGGAAGAACAATATCGAAATTTATTCTTTTTCTTTTTCATAAATTGTCAATAGGTAGAATTAACACAAAAATTATTATTTGAAAATAATAAAAAAAAAAATTTTTGAAAATGTTTTACTTAATTAAACAAAAACTCAGAGAAAAAGAATCTCATCACTTATATTGACAATGATTTTTGGCATAATTTACAACAAAAAAAAAAATTTTCATTAAATTAGTATTTCGATATTACGATGATGAATTCTAGCCATTGCAACATCGATATATCATAGAAAAAAGCATGTAGAACTTTCGAGTATATAACGAAACTTGCTCTACTCTAAATATTTCAAGTTTTTTCTCATGAATTATTTTTAAAAAGGATCTGAAACGGAGCTGAAAGGTTCTCCTTAAGTTGAATCAATGATAATAGTCTTCTAGAGACATCTTTTTTTTTTAATGAGAAAAGAAAAACTGAATGGTTAAATAACGTTCTACAATAATTGGCCAATAAATTCTTATGAAATACGTCGGAACAAGAAAATAACGGATGACTATATATAATAATAATTGATTCTCATTCATTTAATTATATTTTAATTTTAGTTAAATAAGATAAAAATGACAACAAAACGCGATTGGCATCATCAAGTTGAACATGAACGAAGTTTGTTATATTTGATTTAATTTCTATTTTTATTATTATTTATTTGAATTTGTTTAGTTCCAGCTAATGAAGTTCACGAAACAAATGATGGAAAAACGATTCGTGTAGAATATCGAGAAGAAAATGGAATTATTTATAAAGTATTTACCACATTTGAAGTTTTTTTCAAGATAAAAATTTTTATTTTTCTTAGACAACAAAAACTTATCGAAATCAAAAATTAAAAGTTTTACCAATTGTTGCTGAACGAAAAGTAAGAAAAAGGAAATAAAAATCTATTGATATATATTGATTGGATTGAAATGTAGAAATGGAAAAAATTTGGAAATGCAGCAAGTGATCCATCTGGTATAAATACAGCAACAACTAAAGTTGATGATGAAATAACAATGCAATTTATTTCAAATAAAGAAGTTTGATTGTTTTTTAATTTAAAAATAAATTTCATTTAAATTTATTTTTATATTATTAAGGATGATAAACAAGATGAAGAAAAACTTATTAAAGATGCTGTATCAACATTACGAAAAGTTCAATGTCGTTTATGTAAAGGTGAACATTGGACAACAAAATGTCCATATAAAGATAATCTTCAATCATTTATGGATCAATCAACAGATAAACCAAGTATTTAATTCAATTTTAATCTAATTATTTTATATAAAAAAAAATATATATTTAGGTGATAATGTAACAACAGCAGTTAATACTACAGCATCACAAGGTCAAACTTCATCAATGGGAACAACTGGTGAAGCATCAACTGGTAAATGGGTTTCTCAATCAGCACGTCGTGGTGGTACAGGTACTGCTTATCCTGGTGATCGTGGAGGATCATCACGTGGTGGTTCTTATGCTGGTAGACCGAGTGATATGAGAAAACAAGGTTTGTTTTTTTCTTTTGTGTTTCTTAATAAAATAAATCTTATTATTTTGGTAAATATAGATGAAGCAACTGTTCGAGTAACAAATTTACCTGAAGAAACTCAAGAACAAGATTTACGTGATTTATTTACACCATTTGGTTCTGTTAGTCGAGTATTTTTAGCAAAAGATAAAACAAATAATACATCAAAAGGTTTTGCTTTTATAACATTTAATGAAAAGAAAGATGCACAAAAAGCAATTGAATGTGTTTCGGGATTTGGTTATGATCATCTTATTTTGAAAGTTGAATGGGCTAAGTAAATTATTTCCAACATTTTTTATTCTTAAATTTATCCATTTTTTAATTTTAGTAAACCACAAAATCAATAAATAAAATCAATTGATTGGGTTGTTGTTTTTTTGGTTCTCTCAACATTATTTTTCATATTGATTGAAGATGTTTTTTTCATGAATAAATAACTGGAGAACGAATTTGTTCCATTTGAGAAGAATACTTATTTAGTTGATTAAGATAATTTTGATTTGGTGATATTGTTCGACGAATATTTGATAAAAATAAATAAGCTGATGATAATGAATGACCATGATGAGCAATTAAATAAGCAATTACAACTAAATAAAAAATAAAATAAAATTTATTTTATTAAATTTTATTATTCAACAAATTTTAATTTGATATTAACTTTCTAATCTTGTTTTTTCATTTTATAATATTCGATTAGTTGAGAATTAACCCATCCATCTTCAATATATCATTTATTATCACTGACAAAAGAGAAGGTCAGTAAGACAACGTTGGCACGTCATCAATCTTACTATTTAACAGTTGCTCGAAAGAAAAAGATTAACTATTGACATCAAATAAAAAGTATTATTTTCCAATGAATAGTCTCGAGTTTCTAATTAATAATTTTCTTTTTTTGATAGACATTTTTTAATAACATAGCAAAAAGTTATGTCTCGTCTAGGACTTAAAGGTAAGACAAAGAAGAGTTCTTTATTAAACAATTTTTCTACCATATTGGAAGACAAACACGATTTCAAGCGTCACATTAAACCATATAAAGAGAAGAAGACAATTATAGAATATTATTGAAATTTGATTTATTCTAATAATAGTTATATACAGATAATAGAGTTAACTGAGGTGTTAGATATTTAATTTATTTTAATAAATCTCCTATAATAATTCAGTAATTGGTTGACATTCTCCGATTTAACTAAACTTTCTTAAGTCAATTTTAAAAAACTGTTAATTATCAATGAATTCTATACAGGGTTGGAACCAGTAAGAAAATGATAAAACGATCCGGTCCGACCGGTTGTTAATCATTTCTGAACCGGTGAAATTCCGGTCTAGCTTATCGCGTTAAAATGGTTCCAAAGATTGGAAAGTACGGTAGAAATTGATAAAGTTATTTCTAGTTGTAAATTGAGTTATCTAATATTTAAATAACACGGTTGGAACAATATGATTTAGATCCTCATATCATAAGTATAGAAAACTGGAATCAACCTAGGAATAGTTTTTTTTATAAGCATATCGTAGAAAATTTCAATATTCGTACTTGAGAAAATATTATTTGACTTTTTATGAAACTTTTAGAAAAGATATGCATAATCTTTATAATCATGAAGCATCATCATTTTTTCAAAAGGATATTAAGATTTTCCTAACTGATTTATATAGTACTGTCTGGTCTATTTCAGAACTGATAAAACATATGCCTAATGGTCTTCATGTCTATCATAGTATTACAATCATCGCGATAAATATCGATTATAAACCGAACAAAATTTTTAATATTGGCACTATCGAAAGACTTTCTGGATATATATGTATAATGATGGAGAATTTGTTCTACTTCATAGAAAAATACATAGTTCTTCTTACCGAATAAGAGCTAAGTAAAGATAATATTTTTTAAACTTAAACCGGTAAATTTCCGGTATTTACCGGCTCGGTTGACTTTCTAAACTGGTCCGGCTGGATCGGTTTCAACGCTGATTCTATATTAAATATCTTCGTATATTTCAATAAGTGTTATCTATGAGGATAAATATTCTTTCTTTTCTGCTAGATATATTCGTAATAGTTTTTTAAAAAAAATCGATAAAACAGACTTGCAACTGATCTTGATCTTCCATGTTTACAAAAAACGAGACATCGTCCATTTTTATCTTGACATTTTTCAATAAATTGATTTGCTTGTTGAAAATGATCAATAATATATTCATCAAGTGTATCATGTAATGGTATATGAAGAATTTCATATGATTTATCAAGAATAATTCTTGTTAAACTTAAATTAATTATATGTGTTATATTTAATTCATTTAATAACGATGGTGTACATGCGTCTTCTATTGAACCCAAATAAAGAAAATTATCGATTATTGTTGACATGTAACTTAACTCATATATTTGTCCTAGTTTATAATTTTTCTTTTCTTTTTTTCTTTTTCGTTTCTTATCATAAACGAGCATCTGTTACTATTATACAATCACGTGCTTTCTATATCGATAAGAATAAATAGAATAACAAACGTATATTTATTTTTAATAACTCTCAAACATTATTCCTTTAAGCTACGTCAATAAATGATTTTATTTGCATTTAGTTTTACAAGGACAAATATAATTCGAATTGTTGATATTTGTTGATAAATAAAATTATATTGAAGATTATCAAAATATCTTTACAAAAAACAGAAAAAAAATTTATCTATTGAACTATATCAACAAAAAGAAATATATTAATCGAATTAATTATTTGTCTTATTTATTGAAAATTTAATAAAAAGTATATTTTTATTTTGATTGATTAAACTAACGAATATGTGACTTCATTTTTGTTTGATTCGTCATTTTATCTTTTCATATTAATCGTTAAACGATGAAAACAGCATTTTTTTTTATATGAGGTTTTCTCCAATGAATATTAATTTAATTAAATCATATATAAATATAGTTATCAGTGAAATTTCACTATCGAAAGATCTATAAAAACAAGTAAATTCTATGACATTGTTTATATATTCATTTCTATAAAGAATATTTAGAAAAAAAAAACGAAATTTTTCGAATATTGTCTATGTAAAATAGATATCAGATTGATTTCTAATTAAATATTGTTATTGTTTTACTATGATTATTTGGAAGTTAAACAAAATCTATTAATATTTATAAATAAAATAAAAGACAATCAGACGATACTTAAATTGAATATTTCTTTGATGAGTTGATTAAATATTTCAAAAGATGATCTATTTCTATATTGATTATGTCTATTTTTGGATTTTCTTTTCCTAAGTAATTTGTTTATTAAAATGTTTCAAAACGATATTTAAATTGTTATGATTTACTATTGATATGTTGTTGATTGAAACTATCTTAATGACAAAAAAAACATAACAATATTGATATGATATTTTGTAAAAATTATTCTTCAATGTCCTTTTTTTTTTCTTCTAACAAATGAAAATATTCTTAATAACAAAAAAAAACAAGATTTAGAATTTAAAAACAAATCAGTTTTATCATATAACGATAGATATTTGTCTTCTTTGATAAAATCTATCGATGACCGAACAAAATCACTGACATACCACCAGCTAGATTTACTTTCAACACTCAATTTAAACAATAGATAACAAACTAAATTCTACAAGAGATTTATTGTTTTTTTCATCCTAGACAACCTACACTACACAGATCCTAATCATCTACGAATACATTCAAAAAGAGTTCACTTTCCTAGCTTATTCATATGAAGATAGTGTGTATTGATATAATCTATTAAGTAAATGCCATGCTTACTCAAACAAACTATTAGAATGAGAATATTCTATTGTTAAAGTGTTAAGTCTTTTGATTAACTTCTAATCATGAAAAAAGAAACATTAAATTTGTCGATCTATATCATCAATATGAAAGACAGGCTGTTACTATATTCACAACTTAGGATAAGAATACGGAATAGTTCTCAAACATTGACAATAAACTATTATCTTTAATATTTGTCTCTATGAAAAATTTCAAGATAGAATTTGGAAGTAAAATTTTCGTTATGTTCGTGAAATTAAGCATGACATTGAATCGAAAAATATCCCATTAAAATGAAAATATATTGTAATTAATAAGCTAAGGAATGAAACTCTTATAGGAGGTATCAATTGGTTATTAAAGTCTAGATTATTCTAATTGTCTCGACTTAATAAACGATTGATCACTTGTTAGACTTGCATCATAATCAATCATAAATTAAAACAAAAATTATCTCCTTCATAAAACTATAACATATGATTTATTTCCAATATCATTAGGAAACCAACGAATTATTTATTAAAATCTTCTTCAGTCAATTAGAAATTTTATTTGAACTGTTTTTTTTTATTGCAAATATTTTATTTTTTCGAGACTAATTATCGTGTTTTTCCTTTTTTTGTTAAAGTCTAGTCAATGTGAATGATATGAAGAGATAACAAATTGATTAATTGATTTCGAATAATTTTTAGGGATTTAGTAATCATATATTAAAGTAAAAATAAATAAACATCGTTGGAAATTCTTCGAAATAAAGAAAAAAAACAACAATAAATGAATATCAATCAAGAGTAATGACAATCAATAGGAAAAATCATTAGTTACACACATTAGCTTATTACTGATGACTTCGAAAGATTTCTTATGTTTTTCATTATCTGCTGATTATTTCTAATAACTTCTTGTTGTTTTTCATATTGTTAATGTGTTATTATGATTTCAATCACTAGAAATCAATCTTGTTTTTTTTTCGCCTTAAAAAATCCAGGTTTTTAAGATTTAATTTTATTAGAATAATTTATTTGACAATTGCTAATTTAGATTGTTATTTGAAGTAAAAGAGTTCAATGAATGAATGTCGAAATAATTTATTAATATAGTATGATGATGCAAAAATATTTGAACAAATTGAAACAATAAAAAAAGATTTGTATAACAATATATTTAAATAGAGTTTTTTTTCCCAACATTTATCTGGTGTTGTCTTACGATAAGAAGAATTGAAATAGTCATATTAATTGAGAATTTTATTTTGAAGAAGAATTTTTTTATAGATGAATATTATTTTTATTTTGACAAGAAAAGAATTTCTCAATAAACGAATATCTAACTTTTTCAGCTAATAGAATTCTTTTTCAATGATCGAATATAATAGAAGGAAACAAATCCCCTGACAATAAAATGTCCTCCACGTGTTTATAATGTTTATTAAATGAGATACATCAATCTTCGGTAGAGTACAAATATGGTATTTAGATTCAAAATGACAGAAAAAGGAAGTATTCTCTCTTAGAAAAGATTGATGATGCCTCACGGAATGACATGAATAAACACCTGGAATATATATCATTCTCTAGAGATTTATTTTTTTTCAATTATATTGGATGATTCAAATAGAATTCAATTTAGAAAATATTCAAAGTGAAAAACTTTTCTTTGAACTTTATTATAAAGATCATTTATAGATAACTATCAATCATTTTCATGTTTGATAATTCTTCTTGAGAATAAAATTTCCAAATGAAAATAACAACAAGCTTCGATAACTTGTTAGCATTGACGACCAACCGAAAAAATTGTAAAAGGAAACAACCTGCTCAAATCATATTAGAAGTAAGTGTAAATAAATATTTGATTTGTTATGATAAAATTTTAATGAGAATGATCATTGAATATGTATTTACAAACTTATTTTTTGATTGTTGATCATTGTTAGATTGTCTATTGAAATATTTCTGTTAAATATAATTTATGATAAAATATATTCAAGTTCTAACATATTTTAATAGAAGTCATGACCAGTTTCGACCTTGCTAAAGAGTCTCATCAGATGACTTTAGATGTCCGGACGTGTCATGACTGTTAATAGATAAAAATTAAATAAATCAAGTAGTCACTATATAAATTAATTATAGTTATATATAACACTCATATTCTATTAGATTTTGTTCTAGTTAGAATAAAAAGATACTTGTTGTTATTACTTAGGATTGACCAAAAGTTCTAACCTCGGTGTTTAAAGGACTTTGTCGGATAAGGTGACCTATTCAGAAATGAAAAATCGAATAGACCATGTTGTAGAGCTTTTTGAGGCACGTCGAATGGTATATAGTAAATTCTATTTTCATAAGACTTTGAAGGAACTAGAGTCAATTTACTGATAGACGACTACACACCCACAAGATGACAGGAGATGGTACGTCAATGAGGTTGTAGCTCATCAAGAACTCTATTAATATCTTACAAATACTTTCCACTAATATCAAGGACCACAATCTTCAGTCATTTATCATACTTGGGTGTGGATATGTAGTCGTTCATCAATAAACTAACCCTACTTCCTTCAAAGTCTTATGAAAACAGGATTTACTAAATATCATTCGACGCGCCTCAAAAAGCTCTACAACATGGTATATTTGGTTTATCATTTTTTAATAGGTTATCTTATCCGACAAGGTCCATTAAACACTGGACTTAGAACTTTTGGTCAACCCTAAGTATTATATATGATAACAAGTCCGAACATCTAAAGTCATCTAATGAGACCCTTTAGCAAGGTCGAAATCGGTCATGACTGCTAATAATTAATGATAAATCGATTTGAATTAATCGAAAAAGTTATTCGAAAATCGAAATATTTTATATATATATATTTTTTAAATTGAGTCGACATTGTTGATTTATTGACTATGATTTTTTTTTGTCTTATTCTTTTTATAAAAAAAAAAAACCTTGATTGAAATAAAAATCCATAATAAATAGGTTCGAATAAAATAAATATGAATAAATAATAATGTTCCTTAGAATTCTATTAAATATTTCAAAAATTGACCATTTACTAAGGTTAATATAAAAATCTTTGATTAACCCTTTCGTGGCGATGTGATTCACCGATGGACCACACTATATTTTAAAGTTAATGGATGAACTAGAATAAATGGTCACACTTTGCATCTTACATTTTAATCTCTAAATATGTTTTATTAGAAAACAAAATATATCATAAGATGCAGTGTGAAAAGCTCTACAATCTATATAGTAAAGCTTATTTTATTTGTGTACTTTTTGTTTCTAAAAAAAGTAAAATTCTGTGCAATCAATTTTCGTAACCTCAAAAATTGGTCGCACACTGTTTTGTTTTTTTTTTTTTTTGAAAACAAAAATTACACAAATAAAATAAGCTTTACTATATAGATTGTAGAACTTTTCACGCTGCATCTTATGATATATTTTGTTTTCTAATAAAACATATTTAGAGATTAAAATGTAAGATGCAAAGTGTGACCATTTATTCTGAATCACTCGTCACTTTCTATGAAAATCGAATCGTCGCGAAAGAGTTAATAATTAAATTATATCGAATGTAGATTATTATTCTTATTATTGACTATCGTGCATGAATAAACACATTATTATTTTCGTATAGATTGACAATATGTTAGATTTTGTTTTAAATCGAATTGTTTAGTGAAGCTTACATAATAGATAACGTTTTCAATAATGAAAATGTTCTTTTACTCTTTGATAAATTCTTCTAAATAGATATTTAAGTATAAATTATTTTATATTGATTAAATAATTCAATTGGTTATGTTGACTTCTAATTGATATTATTCTTCAAGGTCAATCATAAATCGAACAACAGCAATTAGTTTAATTGTTTATAATCAATATTTTACTTTTAGTTTTATTTTCTCTGAGAAAAAAAAAACACGGAAAATCTTTCAATGATAATGTTTGTTTTCAGATGAATTTTTAAAATGAGTAGATGTCTTTTCTGTTTTTTTTTTTTTGATGATGATCTATATTCATCAATAATAATAAGATGCATCATTCGAGAATAAAAACGTTTTTTTTTTGTCAACAAGATCATTATCTTTGTTGTCGTTAACGATAATAATTTTGGTTTAGTTGTTAATAGCTCTGTAGAATTGATTATTGTTCCGGCGTTAAATCTTAGTAATAATTAGTAGCTTTATCGATATATATATATATGCTGAGTAATTTTAGGTTTTTTTTTCTTTAGAAGAATCTTTGTTTTCAATCATGTTGATATATGTCTATATTTAACATGTTTTGCTTTGTGGAAAAAGAAAAGCAGAGAAAAGAGAGAGAGAGAGAGAAAACAAAATGAGTAAATAACGTCTGGGTAATCGATCGGAAATGGTATTAGTAATAAAAGCATGATTCCTATTGAGATTTATTCGTTAAATATTAATGAAAAGCACTTTTACATAAAGAGAAAACTCAAATAGTATCATCTTTTGCTTTTATTATTTTTCAGATGAACTCTTCTAGGAATCATTTCAATAAATCAAAGTATTTTATAAATAATACATAAATTGTTTATTATGTAGAGTGCTTGTTTATATCTTAGTCATGTTAAAAATAATATAAGATGAGAATAAGAATATTCAATAAAGTAATTGACTATGGCGAATGACATTTTCGTAAAGTTCAATGTAAAACGATATATATATATATATATATATTAAGAAATTTAAAGCTATATACTTTAATAAAGATGTTTTTTTTCTTTTTTTATTACACAAATGAATGTCATTATTAATAAATAAATTTGATCTTATCAATATGGCATGACGAAATAATAGATCATATAATAGATGCACGAGTTATGAGTATGAGTCTTTTTTTTTAATCTGTCGAGCTCATTTGTTTTCTTTTTTCTTTTCCTCGCAAATCCCTTAAGCCTTCGAGAACAAATCATCTAACTTTTCTTTTTTTTTTTTGTTTTTTTTACATACTGTTCGAATATAAATTATTTATTCAAATCTTATTATATTTTTAGATATTATTTTAAGATTTGATAAATTTCATAAGTATTATATTTAAAGAAAAGAAATATTTCATCTTTCTAGTTTAAGTATCCTAATTATAGATACATAATATATTTTTTTTTTGCTAATAACTCCAAGGAAATCGAAGGCAGCTGTTCTCATTATCATTTTTCTATTATTATCATGCCTAATTTAAAGAAGGTCTTTTGTTCCTTTGATGACAATAAACAACAAGGTAACACTAATCATTTTTTCCGCTTGTCTGATCGATTCGAGTACACTAGTTTGTATAATTATATATCAAATAATCAATAGTCAATATTTGATATAAATAGAATATATGTTTTGAAATATAACTCTAAATAATAATTATGTTGTATTTGGAATAATCAGAATACATTTTTATAAAAATTTATTTAAATAAATCGAATGAAAAAAAAAAAATAGAAGAAACTTTTTAGTAAAATTTTATGTTTAGAAAATAGGAAGATATTCATTTTTTGTCAAGTGTCATTCTAAGTGTTAAAGTCTAAACAAGTATTAATATCAAATGTGACAGGTTTGATAATAAAGAAAAAAAAAAAATTCTTAAGTCATTGTTAATTTAATTGATAAATTGAATGTGAAGAAGAAAAAATTTTTTTTTTGTTAATTTCATATTGAATATCATTCAAAATTCTTTTATGATTAATTTATTTTTAGATTGAAAATTGAATGAAGTTCATATGCAAAAAGTTCGTCGATAATTATTTTCTTTTTGGATTTAATGAATATGTCAAATATAAAGTTGAATAACATATTCATTAAAATTAACTGAAATATTTTTATAACTACTGACAAAGATATTTATCAGATTGAAGACAAATAACAACAGATGATATTGACCAAATCAACATTTATATATCTATCTTCATATATTTATTATTAGTAAGTCAATACTAAATAGTTTATTTCAATTGTTCAGTTGCACACATTTTCTTTTTGATTCAACTATTGACAATTGATCTCTATTTATTCTAATATGTTCTCATTGAAAAACGGATATTGACTATTAAGAAAAAAAAAACAATTGAATATCTTTTGAATAAATACAAAAAACAAAAGTTTTTTGTTTTCTATGTTTTTTTTCTTCTGATAGACATTTTCGAAAAGTGTAATAAATCTTTATAATTCATTTTTGATTCATTTCCTATTCAATTGATGTATGATCAATAGATATAAATAGCTGAACTAAAATATTGATATATAATGATTGATTATTATTTTTATTTAAAAAAAAAATTCTTTTCTCTTTATTAGATTTTTGTGAATATATTTGATTCTTCTATTGAAAATAAAAATAATTTATAAATATTTATTCTCATCAATTGATTTTATATTATTTATGTTTAAAAAAAAACCTAAAAAAAATAAAGAATTATTTTCTAGCAGTTAAAGAAGATTGAAGATTAGAAAATTTATTGATATTACAATATTCATTGATTGAACATTTTTATTCTTATTTTCATTTAAATAATTTATTTAATTCATATAATATTTATTCAAGAAAATAGGTGACTAATAAATAGTGATATAAATATTTAAAATATTTTTCTCGTCTATTCTAAATGATTAACTATTGTCGAATAATTTTAGATATAATATTATATCTTAAAGAAAATCTCTTGAGAAAAAAACGAGAGAATATTTGTTAATTCTAGTACATGCCTAACATATTGTTATTTGTTGTAGAGGCATGGTTAGATATATTTATATATATAGATGTTGACGCTAATTGATAGTATTCAACGTATGTTAACATAAGTGAAACAGCTCGAAGAGCATAGAGTAAATCTTCTATGTTTTTCTTGGTCTTTCCAATATAGTTACTTATGTGTAAGTGCCATTAGTCGACAGTTGCCTTGTTACAAGTTAGTCATGTTATCTGACTGCTGTCATTCTTAATGAATATCGTTTTATATTACAGCATGAAGAAATAAGAATAAATCAGTTGACTATTGAACTAAATATTATAATAAATATATACTTGAGAATAACGAGTCACTAGATCGAGAATTACAATTAGATATAGCGTCCTTTTATTCTTGTATTAAATAGAAAAAAGAAGAACTCATATAAGTCATTATGATATTCATGTTTCTTTATAGAAACGATTAATTAACTAAATATGAGTTGGGTATCCTTTTAACGAAAACATTAATACTCACTTTGATTAGGATGTTATCTAAAACGCGTTCAGAATAATTAATCCAATGAATAAGAGAAAGAAAAAAAACGCTTTACAGAACAAAAGATAAAAAAAAAAGCTATGTTCTATTACTAAACGTTTTGTCTTCTTCTAGAATAATGTCGACAGAACATATATGATAAAACCGCATGAATTTTTTCTATTTTCAATCTTTTTTTCTCTTTATTATTTACTCATACCTATAACAGGTTTTTTTTCCATCAAAAAAAATATATTATGTATTTATGGTAAGTCTCTTGTTTCTTTTTTTTTTTTGTGTTTAATTAATTTATGATAAAGTCTTGATAAGAAACATTATTAATTTAATAAATGACATATTCAAATAATAAAACAAGATGTTCTATTCAATAGATAAATATTCTTATTTGTTTTTTTATGTCACTTACCACCAGATGATACATGAAACAATTTACAAAGATTATGTTAAATTCTATTTTCTTCCATAATTGAAATATTTAGAGTAGAAATCTTTTTATTAGTTGATTTATCGATTGAAATTCAATAAAGAGAAAAAAAAACATAGGATTTTTTAAAATTTTTTATTGAATAATTCATTGTAACTTTCATTCTTAAATTAGAAAAAATTAATATGATGTTTTCTTTTTAATGATTATAATGTTCAGAAGAAAAAAAGTAAATCTATCCTAGAAAAACAAATAATTAATTCTGTTAATAATTACGTTTTATAAAGATATTTATTATAATATAATATTATAAATGAAAAATTTATTTTATTTAAAGATATAATGTAATGTCGCATATAACAACAAATGAAATATTTGATTGGATTTGCATAATAATGATTATATTTGGTACTATTGGAAATAGTCTTGGTTTAATTGTATTTTCATCACGAAAATTTCGTCAAACAACATATGGAAAATTAGCAATAACATCATTAATAATAAATCTTTTATGTGTATATCGTTATTCACTTCTTCTTCATTCAAATACTCGTCGTTTGATAACATATAAAGTTGCACAATCATGGTTTAATTGTAAATTATATAGATTTTCATCTTGTTTAAGAATATTATCAGCATTTGTAACTGTTGCATGGACATATGAAAGATTTACGTATGTAACAACAAATATTCGATTTTTTAGAAATACTTTATATGTTAAAAAATATAAATTTTATTTTATGACTATATCATCTTTAATTATTGTTGCTGCTCTTACTGGATCAACAGTTTATTTTCATGAATTAGTATCAATTACTCTATCTAGTCATCGAACATCATATGAATTAAATCAAACATCAATATCAAATATAGGGTAGTTTTTCTTTTCTTTTCTTTTTTTTTTTTTACTAATTCAATATTAATTTCCAGCATAGATCAAAACAGATACTCGAGTTATTTAAATTGACAAGATTAGTCTGCTTTTTATGAAAAAAAAAAAAAACATTTTTTTTTTATTAATAGAAGAATACTTAAACACGGTTTGCTTTTATTATTTTAAATAAAGACTAAGAGTAGAATATGTTCAATTATTATTCTTTAAAATCTTATTTAATTGCAATGTCTCTTGAATTCTATCATATTAAATAACATAACGAAGGATATATTTCTTTTTGAAAAACTATCTACTTTTCTAATTCTTATTAACAACTAGTCTTTTCTTTACTCTAATAAGAAATAATCAATTAATCTGACTCTTTATTGTTGATTAGTCTAAGGTTCATCCTTCTCCTGCATTCTATGACAAGTGTTGAATTTTGTTTAAAAAATTCGATGTTGGGATATAGATACGTTTGAATAATAGTAAATATCAATTTCGAAAAATTTGCTGAATTGATTGGAGTTTTTTCACAGTTTTGTATTCTATATCATTTAATCAGTAAAGAAGATACTTTTTCTAGGTCAAATTTTGTTTGGCATTTTTGTTAAAAGAGATTTTTCTATATTTTTTCTCTTGTTCTTGTGTCAAAGATTTCTCAGTCATTTCATCAGAAGTAAACAAACAATATTTTGAAATATTCGATTCTATTAAGTTGTAAAACGATAGATCTTAATTAGATTTAACAAGTAATCCAAAATCTTTGTCAGTCGGATACATACTTTTTCATCCTTGATATTATTATAACGAGCGATCGATAAAGAGTGCGACACTTAGATTTTCTTTTTTGTTTTTGAAGATAACAACACAGTCTTAAAGACATCATTCGAAATTTATTTGATAGAGAATTTTTCATTTTACAAAATTGTTGACATTTTTCTTTAAATAAGATTCTTCTATCGCAGAAAACTTGAAATGATTGACAGTCATTTGATCATTAAACTGCGACTGTCACAAAATAGAATAATTATTAAATATATATTTAAATAAAAGTTTCACCGATATTCGAAATATACTGTGCAAGATACTCTGTGAAATGCTGCATCTCGCAATGTTTCGTAATTTTAGAAAAAAAAAACAATTGGAATAACAATTTTTCAAGCAAAAATTATAAATGTTTGGTTTAAATATAACATCATTTTGTTCAGAATTCAATTATGTATCCGATGATATAATCATAAACTATTCATAGGGCATGTTAACTTTTCAAAACACAAGTTTCGAAAGTACATTCTAAACAAAATACTATCAAGTATTAGTTCTAAATCATTTGCACCTGAACAACATCATTAGAAGACTCGAGAAGTTCTTCAATTTTTCGTTGATAAGAAAAACTTATTTAAAAAACGAAGTTCACATTTTTGTAGACTGAAAAATTCTCTACCAAATGAACTGAGAATAGTACATTTAAACAGTATTTTCGTTCTTCAAAAAGAGAAAATCAAATTATCCTATTATTTATAGGCCACTCGTTAAATCATTAACAGATAGAGATTTTCGGTAGAAATTTTTACTCTGAACTATTTACAATCGGACATATATTCCGTAAAATTTTCCAATAGATCTATTATTCTGCGCCAAATATATGTTTATGAGAACGAAGGTCAATGTTAAAGAATAATCTTAATATAGTTGACATAGAGGCTAATTAGTTTCTTGTTTTTATACCATTTATGTTCGACTTTGACAAACATATTTGATGAATTTAAGATAAATAAATAAATTTATCTTATTATAGAAATTTATGAAAAGAAAATTATTAAAAGATTTATAAAAACCAATAATTAAAGAAAGATTCGTAGAATCTTATTCAAGTTAAATTAAATAATCGAACTATGTGAAGATAATTTATTTAAATAAATAAAATTGATTTTCGATTATAATCATACAAGATAGTTGTTTTCTATTTTTCTATAATCATAAGTCATTTATATAGTGAGAGATATATTTACTAACGAAAAAAAAAATTTTTTAATGGAATAAATCTTTGTATATAGATTATCAAATCATACATCATTGGATCGACATTCTCGTCAAGATGAATATATAACATATAATCAAATAAATAATCGTACATATCAAATAATTTGTGGTTTAAAAGAATCAATTAGTTTATCATGGCGTCATTTTTTGACTGATGTTCGATTTGGTTTAAATTATACAACATTTCGTTCAATATTTTCTGAAATAATTCCATCATTATTAGTTATTTTTTTTAATATTGGAATAATAATAAGTGTTATTAAAGCAACATTATCATTTTCAAAACAAAAAAAAGCTTCTTCAATACATATTCGTCAAAATCATTATAATTCATATAAAACAAATGAAACAGTTGATGGTTTAATTGTTCATAATCGACCACGTACATCATGGATGAATATTGTTTTAATAATTCATTCATGTCTTTTCTTTTTTTCATCATTAACATCAACTATTGTACATTGGTCAACATCAAATCCTCTTTTATCACATTGGACAAGTGTTGTTATATTAGCTAATTGTTCATTAAATTTTTATGTTTATTGTTTAAGTGGAAAATCATTTCGAAATGAAATTAAAAAATTATTATATGATTATTTTGAATTATATTGTTGTATTAAATTTATGAATTTATTTCGAAGTAAATCTCAACGTGAACAAATTCAACAAACAATTCGAATGCGTACTGTAGTACATAGAAATATGAATTTATCAACACAAATAAATTCTCATTTACGAACACCTTTATTTATACAACGATATTATTAAATATTTTATCAATTATTATTTTTATTAAAATCATTCAACAATTATTTATAAGATTTTCTTGTAGTCAATAATAAACAAAAAGAAAATGAAAATCTCCTTTAACATTTCTTTATGAATTAAAATATTATCAAATATAATAGAAATCAACAAAGTTTCTTTTTCTTTTTTGTTTTATTTTAATATAACAGATATTATAATAATTCTCAATTATTCATGGATTTATTCTTCATATCAATTTTTAATAAAAATGTATTCTCATTATTTCCATTTTGTTTTTTTGCTGTATTCAATTATAATAAAACCTTTCATTTCTACTTTGATAAATATACTAAAGTTTTTTAAAAAAAAACTATCAAGTTTATAATATACAGGAGAACATGATGAAATCGCATTAGAACTATTTTTTCATTTTCAAAGTCAAATTTAATTCAATCATCGATTAAATAAAACATAATCATGTTCCTATTGATTTTTATTTTTGAATTCAAGATATATTCATATTGTATTATAATACAAAAATTGAGTTTAGCTTAAAAGAAACTTCAATGATGATTTATTTATTGATGTTAATCAATAATGTGATGATTATATTTTAAGTAAAACAAATTGAGATGACAAATTATCAAATATTATATTTATAGTTGATTGTGAAAGGTAAAATAATAATTTATTTAAAATTAATTTTTTTTTAATAAATCTGAATCTATTCAAATATTTTATTCGTTCGATAGGAAGTTTCTAATTTGACATATTTATTACAATGAGAAATTTTTTTTTCCTTTACAGACGAAAAAATTGGCTCAATTTGAGATAATCTTAAGTCTACTTTTGTTTCGAGCCTACTTTATATTTATAAATAAATGTCATATTTTGACGCATGCATTTCCTCCGAGATTTGTCAACAAATAAATTTTATCAAGATAAATATTTTATTGTTTATTCAGCCGGTTGTTTTCTTCAAATGTTATTTTACAAGTTTAGAATGTACTCACTATTGACACAATGACTTTTTGATTGAATTTCTTGACATATCCTTAGGGAGATGCACACGTCAAAATGTCTTCGGAAACAAACGTCAAGAAAAAAAACTTAAAAACATAGATAAATTGACTCAGCCATTTGCGATTATTCTAAATCAAGTAAAATAGATATTATGATCAGTTTTTTCGACCATAAATAAAAAAATAAAGACTTCTAGCACTTGAAATACTCCATGATATAGGAAGTGTACTAAGTTGAGTGAAAGTTTGATTAGTCGGTTAATTGAATAGAATCATATTTATTAAAAAGATTAGTTTTAAATAAATGATTATTTTACCTTCACAATCAACTATAAATATAATATTCGATAATTTGTCATCGCAATTTGTTTTATTTAAAATATAATTCGTCATATTATTAGTTAATATCAATAATTAAATTCATCATTTAATTTTATTCTAAACTAGACTCGATTTTCACATTATAATACAATATGAATATACCTTGAATTTAACATGATTATATTTTATTCAATCTATGATTAAATTAAATTGGACTTTGAAAATGAAAAATAGTTCTAATGGATTCGAATTCGATTCCGTCCGTTAATAATGACATATCAGTGAAAAAAGAACGATAAACAAGAGAAAATAAAGATCTAAATTAAAGTAATGATTGAAGAATATTATTAATAATAGAAAAATATGAAATAAATGAATATGTATAAAATTTTTATATCTATATTAAATTGATGAAATATCAAAATATGTTGTTGATTAAAAAAGTTTGATTTATGTTATAAACTAGATAGAATTAATTGAAAATACAACTTAATTGTTTGAATCGTTTCTTATTTTCTAATTGATCTGTAATAAAATGTGAAATTTGAATAAGAACTAACAAAAAAAAAAATAAATGTTTTTGATAAGATGATCGGATTTATCTAATAAATTCATATGAAAAATATTTTCAATTGATTTTTATGATAAAATAGGTAAGATAATAAAATAGAAATAGACACATAACTTTTATTTTTTATTTATATCTAACTGATGAATGTTCTATCTTAATTAAAATATGTTTTTTTCCTTCATAAAAACAAAATAATTTAATCCTTTACTCCCTTCCCCTCCCCCACAATGATTTCAGAAGAGACACAGATAAAATAACTTGATAAATAGAATATTAAGTTGCCTAATATGCCAATTATGTAATCTGATCTACCAAGTATCCCTTTCTTTATGTAGGACCATTTGATTGGTCTAGTAACCCTATGGTGAAAAAAGAGGATTGAACGTCATGCTAAGCCTTGGTTTTTTTTTTCTTGGGACACATTAATGAGTGAGCAAAAGCAAAATCTATCCCATGTTATTGGAGTAATGGAAAAAAGAAAGAAGTGAACCGACTAAATTAATATCAAAAGAATACATGATCTTTTTAACACATCTTGTTAAATAAGCATCTATTTTGCTTTGAACTATTTTGTAACTTCTGAGATATTTAATTCATAATAAATACTATTTCAACTTTTTCATGAGTTGAAGTTTATAATACATATATTAACTTTGTTCTTGATTGTTCTTCAGCTGCCGAATAGTGGCCGCATAACTAATTAAATACCTTAGTATGTGTAACTCGCTGATTTATTGTGAAGCTTTCGAAACATATCTAACCCACTAGTAGACTCCTTCATCGACTTATATCATACAAAAATCCCGAAAGATCTCTGTCGACTGTCGATAGAGAACAATTTGTTTCGAAAAAGTCGAATTTTTTTCAAAATTATCGGTTTTGCTGTAGGCCCGACGTTTCAAACACGAAGCGATGAAACAGAAATATTCTTTTTATCAATTGATAGTCCATGAAGTTCACTACAAAAACTGTTCTTATCATTTTCAGATTCTATGCTCTCCTTATTTACTACAATCATTCTACAAATAGCCACTTCATTGACCAACGGAGGGGATAAAAGCTGATTCACATTTTTGTTAATTACCATCAAAGTTTTCGATAGTATAACTTGAAAAATAGATGATAGAACAATTCATTTGCTTTTTAACATTATCAAAATAAAGAAAGATTAAAAAAATGATTTAATTTATTTCCATGATGAAATAATAGAATTGTGATATCCTATTAAACGAATATTGAATATAGATATTATTTTAAAAAATTGATCATTGTGATTTTGAGATATAAAAAATGAATAAAAAGATGTCTCTAGATAACAGAATATATATCGTATTTCAAATGGGTAAATATCAGACAAGACTGAAGTTTTATTAAACATGTTGAATCTTCATCGTTATTTAAAATCGATAAATAAATATATTAAAATAAAACATCGTTATTTATCAATAAGTAAATTTGATTTAATTGAATCTAGTAGAAATATTCAAGAATTAATTAAATTAAAAGATAATAAATCATCAACATCTAAATGGCTTTATGATTCATTAAATAAAATTCATGAAGAATATCCTTCATCATATGTAGCAACATCAACAAAAGAAATTTATCAAAAAAATTCATCGAAATTAAATTCCATATATATTGAATTTGAAAATGATAGAAAAAAACAAATTGGATATTTTAAAGAAGATAATCAAGATAAATTAATTATTCTTCTTCGATATATTCGTTATTTACAAGTTGCTTTTATTTATCGACTTATTACATTTGATATAAATATAACTTTAAAAGAATCTTCCAATTCAATTATTTATTTAACTCAATATGAAAATAATTTAGATAAAAAGTTTGTTCAAAACTAAACTCAAATTTAGTTTCTTTTGCTTTTTCAATCACATCTTTATATTAAATCTTTTAGAACAATTAAATTATTTTTTGATTAAAACTTATTTTTATAAAATAGGTTTTTTTTTCATTGTAAGATAGTTGTTAGTCAGAGATCAAGGATCTATTTATGGACATTTTGATCCGAAAAACTGCCAAATAATGATAGAAAGTTTAAGTTAGGAATAGAATGTCTCAATCCACTTGTTGAATTATCCTGATTTCATTCGAAAATCACCATAATCGAAGATAGATCGCCATATAATTAGACTATCGTTTCGAAGTTTGACGGTCGAGGAAACGACATTTTTTGGTTGACATCGCACACAATTGTACGTTGATATTCTTGTCTTGATAAAGAACATATTCTTTCTATTTACTATTTTTTTTTAAGTAAATATTTTCAAATAAAATATTATACATATGCATACTTATTACGAATATGATGATTTTTGTTTTTGAATAACATAAATCATTTTTTCACAATAAAAATACCAAAGTATGAGACACTTTTCTTTTGATGTTCTTCTATCGAAATAAGTTAGTGATAAAAAAGTCTTATTAAATAATTTGATATAGTTAACTAATTGATAATAAAAAAATTTGAGAAAATTTTTAATTATTTTAGTTCATTATCATTAGTATGTGAATTATCATTTTTTGTTTATTTATTATCATCTCAATATTCATTATCAAATGTTAAATCATTATTATCACGTACATATATTGTTAATTATCTTAAAAATTATTTATATAAAATATTATGTGAAAAAGATTCAATAGAATTAGTAAATCAACTTTGTTTAGTACTTAATTCAATAGTAGAAATTCCTTCATCATCAATAATTGATTTATGGTCATATGAACTTTTAAAATATATTCATTATAAAAAATGTTGTTCATTATCAATAATTGAATATCTTATATTAATTAAACATTCATCTATAAATAAAAATTCATCAGAAATAATATCTATTTTAAATGATTATTTAATACAAGTTGGAATTCATCAACATAATTTAAATATTATTTGTCAATTACTTATATTAATATCTTCATTTAATTATTCACATGAATTATTTATAAAAAATGTTATTGAAAATATTAAAATAAATATTAAAAAATCAGAAGATAGTATGTATTTTTAATTAAGAAACAAAAAGAAAAATATATCAAATAGACTTTTAAATAAAAATATTTTTAGAAATAAATCCATTATCAGATATTAAATTATGTTCTCGTTTAATTTATTATTTATGTTTAACTGATCCAACAAATCGATTTCAATCACGTCCAATTATTGTTGAATTAAGTAAAATAATAAATGAAAATCTTAATAAAAATAATAAATTCGGTCAATGGATTGTTCAAGCTCAACATGGAATGATGCTTTCTAATATTTATAATTATCAACTTCTTTTTTCTACAGTTCAACATCAAATCTTTCCATTGCTTTTTCGTAAGTTGACAACACAATTTATCAAGATTTGTTATTTTAGAAAACAAAAAACTTTTCCTTTGATAAAATCTCAAATTTGCCGTTAATTGTTTCTCAGTAATTGATCATCGTTATAGATTAGAATGATTATTTTATATTTAAATGAAAGTTTAGTTTTCAAATATTACTCTCGTAGATTGTTTAATTTCAAATAGACAATCTTTATCAACGATATGTTATAGGAATTCAACTAACTGATGAGAGAAATAAAATTTTGATTTAATTTGATATTTAAAATAGAATATGTATTTTAAATCAAATTTTAATAATCTTTGACTAAATCAAATAAGATTTAAAGACTTTTTTTTCACATAAAAAAAATCATTTGAGAATTTATTTTGTATTTTAAATTCAACAATTTTAATATTAGATTTCAAATTAATTTTAACAAAGAATTCTATAGAAGAATTTCTTGTTTAGATTTTAAATAATTAGTAGAATCTTTTCATTTTATTAAACAATTGAGATCTTCAATGGAAAAAAAAAATTTCAATTTCGTAGATCTCAAATCAAAATATGATAAACCGTCAGTTCAAAGAGAAGATTTAAAACTTATTTTTGAGTAATAAACAATTATTTTCAATATATAAATTAAATACGGAACAGAAAAACGAATGGTTTTCATTTATAAGAAAAATAAATTCGAATAATTATTGTTAGTTTTATTTGTATATGTATGATAAATGATAATATATAATAAATATATTTGAATAGGAGATTTGGGTGTTTATACATGGTCAATACCTCGACAATTATTTGATATTCATCATGTATTATCTATTGATCGACCTTTACTTAAAAATAGTTTACTCAATTCTGAAATGCTTCCATTTGCTAGAAAAGTAATTATTATTTAATTATTTAATTAATTATTTATTAAAATAGATTTCCGATGAATATCGATCATCAATTCGATCAAATCAAAAATCATATAATCAATTTTTAAATGAATTAAATCAATTATTTAATAATATCTATGGAGAGGGAACATCAAAAATAATTGATACTAATATTAATTATCCATTTATACTTTTTGATTGTAATTATTTCAAATTTTGTTTTTTTTTATTAATAGATTTATTTCTAATAAATTATTTTAGTTTTAGAAATAAATTTACCAGATAATGATGAATTAAGATCAATTGGTATTAACACAAAACAAAGGTTTGTTTGATATCTTTTTCTTTTTTATTTAATATTCAAATGAAATAAATAAATATAGAATAGCTATTCTTCCAATATTAAATTCAATGTTAATAAAACAACAACGATCAGATGGATCATTAGTTCGTGTTCTTAGTGCACATACAACAATGAGATATAGAATTATTGAAAAAAATAATTATCAAATTGTACTGGTTTGTATTTTTTATTTGATTTTTATTAAAATATTTATTTTTTATTTAATAGATATTTCATGGTGAATATCTTCGTGCACTTCGAGACAATACAATAAAAACAATTTTTGAGACAAATTTAGCTCTGAAAACTATTCCTCATTTATCAAATAAAGACACTTCAAGATAATTATGATATAATCAATTTTTTTTCACACTTTCAAATAAAAATATATTTCTATTCAGATAAATTAAACGATCAATTTTCTCTCTACACTTCCATGTAAAAAAAACTAGATTAAAATTGAGTAGAATTTAATTTAAAAAAATGAATTAAAATTAAACGCTTTTAATCGATTACAAGAATAATGATTCAATGGTTAAGTAAAATATATCATTTGATAGTTTTTGTTTTTATTTCGATATATTAAAGTAATTGTTTACCAAAAAAAAAAGAATAATTAAAGAAATATTTTTTATAATTCAATTATTTGTTATATGATGAACATTTTTTACTAAATATCTATATCTGAATTTATTTCAGTTAATAGAAAACAAACGAAGATAAAACATTGTCTGTTGCACAACACAAATCATCTCATTTTATTGGATAATCTATTTAAAACTCTACAGATTTATGTTACATGTAAGGTATTCTTTGATTTTCTTCAATAATAAATAAACGCAAGTATTTTTTAAAAATCTCTATCAATCAATAAAACTCAATGGATTTTAGAATAGATACAATAGCAACTTCGTCATCGTCAACAAATAACTACTAGTACTTTTATTTAAGATCCAATCGAAATTTTCGTTTAGTATATGACTTGACAACTTTTTATTAATAGGATATTTTTATTGATAAGCATTGTCTTTGATAATGTCTATCAAATCTATCACATATTAAATTGATGATAGTCGTTAATCGTTACAAATATTGGAGAGTATTTCAGGTAAATATATATAATCAATTATAAAAAGTCATTGATGAATCACCATTTGGAATAAAAATCGAAAAGAAATCTGTTTAGATAATCTTTTTCAACAATTTCATGCGCGCAATATCAACTTACAATTAATCGAACCAATAAATAACGATAAAATCGTCAATATTTAGACGATTTTCATCACATGGAACCAATTATAATAAATAAATAAATAATCAAAATTCTATCGATTATTATTCTAATTAATTTTGATTATAATCAATTAAAAAATTGTGCAAAAAACATCGATTTTACTGGACAATAGATTTTAGACTGTCTTTAATCAGTTTTATTTAAGTTGCATTAATCACAGTCGATTAGGATTGAAATTAATCAGAATAATTTAATAAATTTTGATGTGTTTTTTTTTATTATAATTGATTCTTAATCGATTTGAATCGAATTTTTGTTTTGCACAGATTACGGATGCATGTAACTAATTCTATCACCAGAATCAGGATTAAGCGAACAAAATTGAAGAGAGATAAGCCTAAAAAGTGATTCTCATTGAAGAAATAAATACAGAAAAATAAGTATTGACGAATTTTTTATATGTTTAATTCAAAATGATTTAATAAAATTATTCAACGAATTGATTAAAAAATAAAATCTAATTAATAAAAGTAAGATATTTTCTATAATGAAAATGAAACTTTTTCTTAATTGATTTCTTAATGAATTTTATTTGTTCTAGATAAAATATAAATCTATTATTGATTTAATTTAAATATAATAATGGAAGATAGAATAAAAAAAATTCTTTTCAATGAATATAATTTAAATGTAGAAAAATTGACTTTACTTGAAGGTGGTTTTCGTCCAGATGAAATATATTTACTTATTACTGTTGATCAAATGAAATATGTTGTTAAATATATTGAATATAATCATAGTTTTGAACATCTTCAATCAATATTAATATTTGAAAATATTTTACATGATTTATATAAATATCCATGTCCAAAAATAATTCTTTCTATAAATGAACAATTATTTATTTTTGATAATCAACGTTGTCTTTTTGTTCAAACATTTATTCAAGGAATAGAACCAAATAGAGAAATAATTGATAAAAATAATTCTTATTTACATCAAATGGGTTCACTTTTAGCACAATGGAGAATTGCTTCAAGTCATTATTCATTAAATATTCATTTTAATGAAGAAGATCAAGAATTAACTGAAAAATGGTGGAATAAACAACAAATAAATAATATTGATCCTTTTCTTCTATCAAATGTTATCGAATGTAAAGAATATTTTAGAAATTTAAATGTAAATTTTCAGCATGGTCTTATTCATAATGATTTTCATACGAATAATTCAATAATAACAAATGATGAAAAGATCTATATTATTGATTTTGTTGATGCTTGTCAATCAGTATTTATATCTGATTTAGGAACATCTTTATTTCATTTATTAATTGATAAACATAATGGAGAACATCGAGCTAAAACATTTTTAGAAGGATATCAACAAATTTTAAAATTAACATTAGAAGAAAAAGATGCTCTTCACAAATTTGTTCAATTTAAATTAACAATGAGTATCATTGCAGATTTAAATGCTTCCTGTGATTTAAATGAGCCTTTCATTCAATCTTGTTTTGATTTGTTGAAAAAACTCAAAAATAATTCGACTTTAGTCAACAATTTATTAGAATAATAAAGTTAATATTTATATTAATTATATTAATCAATGAAAAACTTTAGTTGATTTACAATTTTAATTTCAAAATAAAAATTGTTTTCGTAAAGATCAATCAATATTTTTTTTGACTAAATCATTGATATTGATTATCGTCAATTTGAGAAATTTAAAAAAAAATAAATTCGAATTTGTAATAATAATAAAAAACCAATGTGATTATCTATGCTTATATTCAATCCTCTTAATTATTTGATTGATTTAAATAATTGTTGTCATCTGATTTTAAATGATGATATAATAAAGTTCAACAGGGCGTGGGTGTGGGTAATTTATTTGGATTTATCAATTGAGCAAATAATTGGTGCAAAACCGATAAAAAAAGTTGTGAAGGTTTCATTGTTATCTAAGCAGACGCTAAATAAGATATTCACGAATAACAATCATATGTATTCAAATTGCTCAATCAATATTACGTTAAAATATCGATGAGCCTCACTAATTCTTATTTTTTCTTCTTTGTAATAAATGATGATAATATAATCAATATCTATAATCAACTTTGTTTCTTGTCAGTTATATGAACTATGCCTGAAATGAACATATTATAAAAAACAACCAAGCTGTTGCCATTAATATTGATTTGCTAATTTAAATTATTCATTTATTCATCTTGAATATTTTCTTCTAAAAATTATCATATCTCGAATGTCAGAAGTTACGAAAAGATGAATCTCTATGATGATGATGTTGCTAAACAGGTTTGTTTGATTTTTTTTAGTTCATATACCATATAAATAAATATATATTTATTTAGCTTCAGCATATGATAGCATTTATTCAACAAGAAGCAGCTGAAAAAGTTGAAGAAATTGAAGTAAAAGGTGAAGAAGAATTTAATATTGAAAAAAGTCGTTTAGTTTCTCAACAACGTATTAAAATAATTGAATATTATGATAAAAAAGAAAAACAAATTGAATTACAAAGAAAAATTCAACATTCAAATTTAGCTAATGCAAGTCGTCTTTCAATTCTTAAAGCACGTGATGATTATATTCAAGCTTTAAAAGAAGAAACAAGAAAACAATTAACTATTTTAACACAAGATCGAGTAAAATATATATATATTATTGTTAATCTTATTACACAAGGTCTTATTGTACTTATGGAAGAAAATGTTATGATCAGATGTCGACCAGATGATTATGGTCTTGTTCAACAACTTATTCCCGATGCTATTCAACGATATCACAGAGTTTTACAACAAAAAAATATTCAAGTTACAGTTGATGATAAGAATTTCTTACGTGACGATTTGTAAATAATCAAATACTGTTCGTTTAAATGTAACTTGTTTTTTTGTTTCTTTAATAGAGCTGGTGGTGTTGAACTTTATGGAATGGATGGAAAAATTCATGTATCAAATACAATTGAAGCTCGTCTTGAACTAATTTTTCATCAAATGTTACCCGAAATTCGACGAGACTTGTTCGGTATTAATCAACATCGCAAATATTATTATTAACATTTACTCGCTTCAATACCTTTCTTTTTTTATGTTCTCATTTGATGAAATCATACTCAAATATGATCATTTATTCTTCACAACTTTCATCTTCCTTTCATATTTCAAGTAAGGTCCGCCTCCCCTCAAAAAATCGACCTTAAGCTGGATACCTGCTAAAAGCATGAAATTTTCAGGATATGTAGAGACTAAAGTGGAGAAGCTATGGTAAAATTTTCAGCCTTATAGCATGACATTTGAGGGAGATATTCACTAAACAAGAGTCAACAATAGCTCATTCGGCAATCTAAATTTCTCTGTCCAATCTCATTCTATATGTTAAAATTTTTTTGTTTTGTTTGAAAGAGCATGTCAGAATGCAGGGCATCAGAATCCTGTTTTTTTATATTCTTACTTTTTATGCGGAAACAACGAGTGATAAGTTCAACGTCGCAAAAAATGCACCAAAAGTGGATGTCCATTCATATATTTGTTTGTATATATAATAAAATCAAAGCTTCATTTAAAAAAAGGATTCTATGGTGTCCTGCATCTTGATATGCTCTTTCAAACAAAAACAAATTCACATATATAGAATGTAGACTGACTGAGAAATTTGGGTTGCGCTATTGAGAAAGTATCAACTGAGAAAAAACGAAAAACATTTTTCGTTTTTTTTTCAAAATAAGCATACTTTTTAAGGAATTAACGGAAATTATCAAAAATTTTGACCAAAATGAGATGTAGAAAAAAACCATACCGTTTCGGAAAAATCAGAAGACGGGCTATCTTTCCATGCATTTATCGTAATTTCGACATTTTTGATGAAAATTGACTTTTTTCTAGGGGTGGGAGGAGACCTTAATGAGAACGCAGTCAGTCAACTGACTACTAGGTTGGAAAAATATTATTTCGGGAAGGGCACCGCTATGATTTCAAATAACATTTGCCATAAATTTTATACCAAATGAAAGCTCGTGAAAAATGAGATTTAAGAGTATAACCGGTCATTCATAATATGAGAATGGGCTATAGAGTTGCGAAAATTTTCAAATTTTAGATAGATATTAAAACATTTCCATGAATAGTCAACCACTAAAATTTTAGATTTTCCCGTCTTTCATACTTTATAGAGCTCGCTTCGCTGATCATTTTGGTAAAAAAAATTTTAAATTTGATCAATAAACAACGATGGCTAGGATCAAAATGTTTACAATCTCAAGCTGCTGTGGCTGATATGTGTTTATGAGTATTTTGATCCTAGCATTGTTATTGATCAAATTAAAAATTTTTTTTTATCAAAATGATCAGCGAAGCGAGCTCTATAAAGCGTGAAAGACGGAAAAAATCTGATATTTTAGTAGTTGACTATTCATGAAAATGTCTTAATATGTATCTAAGATTTGAAATTCTCCACAATGCTATAGCCCATTCTCATATTATGAATGACCAGTTATACTCTTAAATCTCATTTTTCACGAGCTTTCATTTGGTATAAAATTTATGACAAATGCTATTTGAAATCATAGCGATACCCTCCCTGGAATAATATTTTTTCCAACCTAGTTAAAGAAATATTTTGTTAATGCTAATAATTTGTTAGATTAAGTACGTGACAAGAATTAAATTGATAAATATAATATAATGATATATGTTTGTTTTTCTTTTTCTAAAACAGTCATAATGAAATTGCCAAGGAATTTAAAACGAATTTTATTATTTTGTTGTCGATAAATCGATTGTATATAAATGTTGATTTGTTAAGTACATGAATAAGTTTTCTTTCGAGAAATGAAAATTTTCTCAATGAAATTAATCTGTAAGATGAATGAAATTGATTATTGATTATAAAATTCTTAAAAGGAAAATCGTTTCTTCTTTTCTTTGTTTAAATTATTTATAAAATGCTGATTATTTGTTTAATCTATATCTATTTAAGAGAATATATTTCTATATTCATTTCGAAATAATTGATTGAAAACCGATAATGATAAATAAATTTGAAAATTTATTTTTTATTTAAAAATTTAATCGTTTCATTCTGAATGAATATATCAAATAGACTTTTATGAAAGTATGCCTTCAAAAATAATGTCTTAGTGAATGTTATTTTTTTTTTAGTGATAAATATAGTTTTGTGGAATAAAATATAGAGAGAGAGCCTTTCATCTATAAAATGTTATCTAAAAGCATAGATTTTTCTAACTTTTCAATGAAATATATTATCATTTAACAAAAATAAAATTTTTCACTTAATCAATTTAATTTCCTCGTAGAATTATTTCTTGTGGAATTTATCTTAAAGTCATTGAGAAAGTGAAAACTATTTTTTTTTTGTTTTTGACAAATCAATAAATTAAAAATTTCATAAGTATACATTGACGTACAACACATTTATTCGGAATCGACTAAAGAAAAAAAAAAGAATAGATTATGACAGAGGTTTAAAATTGCACGTTTCTTTTTAATATCTCGGAATGAATATGGAAAAATAAAAATAAGAATAAATTAATCATGATATTTTCTATTTTGATTAACACCAAATAATTTTTCTCGAATTTCAGGAAGAATTTGATTAAAAATCATTGCAAGACGAGCTTCAATTGTATTTGACACTTTTATTTTTCCTCCCATTGCAAAAAGTTCAATACCACCAGCTCTAAACAAACAAAAAAAAAAAAATATTCTTTTTCTTATTGAAAAATAAAAATTGAATACTAACGATTCATCAGCTAAGAAATTTTTCTCATCAATTGTAACTTTAATATCATTTTGTTTTAAATCTTGTTTATATCGTTGAATAGCTTCAGGTATAAGTTGTTGAACAAGATCACGATCATTACGTCGACATCTAATACTAACTTCTTTTTCCATAAGTAAATAAAGACCTTGTGCAATAAGATTAGCAAGAATAGTTGGATATTTTGATCGATCTTGTGTTAAAATAGTTAATTGTTTTCTTGCTTCTTCTTTTAAAGCTTGAACATAATCATCACGTGCTTTAAGAATTGAAAGACGACTTGCATTAGCTAAATTTGAATGTTGAATTTTTCTTTGTAATTCAATTTGTTTTTCTTTTTTATCATAATATTCAATTATTTTAATACGTTGTTGAGAAACTAAACGACTTTTTTCAATATTAAATTCTTCTTCAGCTTTTGCTTCAATTTCTTCAACTTTTTCAGCTGCTTCTTGTTGAATAAATGCTATCATATGTTGAATCTAAATACATATATATTTATTTATATGGTATATGAACTAAAAAAAATCAAACAAACCTGTTTAGCAACATCAGTTTCGCTTAAACCCATTTTTGGATCGAAAGATGACGAAGATGAAGAATAATGCGAATGTGTTTATGATAAGATAAAAATGATTTGCGACAAATAAAAGAGTTTATGAAGACATTTTTATTCGAGTATACTATGGATATATTCCATTCTTTTTATACAGATGGCACCATATTCTATCTTGATTAACTATTGAACGATTCAATTTTGTTTTATATTATAGAAAAGAGAAAATAAAATACGTTTTCGACGGTATGTTAAATTATAATCAGCAATAAATTCAAATATCTGTACGTGATTATTAAATCAATGATAAAAGCTAAACAAGACCGATGGAAACATTCAAATTGAATGTAAAATGATCTATAGATTAAATTCATTTTAACAGATTCAATTAAACGGAGAGAACTTCTAGTTTTCTGATAACTATGGATGACAAATTGCTCTTTTAATGAAAAGTATTCTGATATAATGTATATATATCTGGGCTTGGCTTCGATCATGAAATTCATTTTTTAGTGAAAAGTAAATAGGATGTGGCTGAACGATGAGAGCCTAAGGCCTTGTCTCCACTAGAAAAATAATACAGTATTAACTTCGTATTAAAATGATGTGTATCTACACTTAGAAAGTTAATGCATCAATCAGAATCGAGAACGAAATGTCGCTTTCATTAATTCAATTGGAGCACATGAACCTAATGAGACTTTGATTGGTGCATTAACTTTAATTCGCTTTCGAAAGCGCATTAAATTTAATCCGCTTTTGAAAGTGCATTAAATGCGAATTATATTTTCCACAAATCAAGTTTCTTAATTCGGTATTAAATTTTCTAGTGGAGACAAGGCCTAACTTAAATAAACATCCTTAAGCACGTACTTACACTCTTATAAAAGTTTTATTGATTTGTTTAATTTCCACAAGTGTGAGATGACTAACGTTTTATTTAAAATGTATATTTGAAGTAAAAAAAAAAGAAATTAACTGTGCTAGTCATTAATGCTAATATTCAAATGAGTCAATAAAATATTTGCAAATAGTTATCAATAATAAGATGAATTTGATGATCAAAGCCAATTTCTGAAATCTACATTTGATTTATCAATTGTTTTCATATATTCTGCAGTTATTTCTTCAAGTATTGAAATACATTCTCATGAAATTGATCTTATAGTCATTTGATTTAAATATTCTAAAAAAACCAGTAAGTGACTATCTCATGAATTTTTGCTTTCGAATAATAGAATATTTGTTTTTAATGAATAAAATTATTTCGAATTAATCATTATGTTTATTGATTCGAATTTCATTTTTGTTAAAAGTGTAAAGTTATTGAATAAAAAACCGTTTTCGTGTTTTTGGTGATTTGAATATTCTATAAAATAAAACAATGTTGACGACATTGAAATGTGTATATTTCAATTCATCTTATTTTTAATTAAAATAATAAACAAGCATTGAATAATAATGCCCTCTATTACATCGTTTTTCTATTGTTAGTCGGTCAAAGTCTCTTTATTGTAAATAACATCATGTTGTTTTTTCTCCTAATATCAACATAAAGCACCGGTAAAACTTGATATTACATAGACAGTGTCTCTCTTACACAATCTGATAAAGTGACGTTCGAAGAGATGTTCATAACAATTGAAATAAAGATATATTTTACGAAAGAACTTTTTAAATGTGTTCAATGAACGGAAAATCAATTGTGGATATATGATATATTAATAATCTATTCAAAATAAGTGAATTTAAGAAAATCAATATTTTTTTCATATTAAACATATTGAGAAATTCACTTTTAAAAAAGTTTTAATGAATAAAATTTTGATTATTATTGGTTCTTGACTAATCAATAAAGTTTCGAAGAAAATGAAGTTGAGATGTACTTTCAATATTGAAGCAATTAAATTGCCGAGAAACTGACCATCAATTTCTCTTATGCAAACTGATACTTTTTCAAAAATGAGAATAAATGACGATCATAACTATTGATTGAATGTTTGATGAGGAATATTTCATTGTCAGTTTATTTTTATTGCAATTACCTAATGATATATTCTGGTTTATTATTCTTTAAAAAGAACGATTTGATTTTGAAAGAAAAACAAAACAAAAATAAACTATGATTCATTGTTTTCTATTCATGACGAAAGAACGAGAGTAATACCTAAACTATGTCAATATTATTGTCCTTGTAGAAAATTTCACATTGCATAGAAATTGTTTTTTATATATATAATGTGTCTAGTTTCTAGTTAGCTACTACATTGTTAATTTAATAGATGTCTTCAATAAATCAATACGAATCATTAAAAAAAGATGGTATATGGAGAGATCGTCTGAAATATATTTTATCATTATCCGATAAAAATGATATAGAAAAACATTTAAAACAATCATCATTATCATCTTATGATGATTTACAAATGCTTATTTTTCTATCATTAACAACTAAAAACGAAAAAAATTTACTTGAAATATTCAAAACAGATTCATTACCAACACAACAACGAGCTATTGCTGGTCAACATTGGATTAAACTTCAAAAAGATGAAAAACAAATTCATAATTTTATTGTTGAATCAATCAATAATAAAGATATTCCTCGATAGTAAGTTTTTATTTTTGAAAATAATCAAATTGAAAGAAAAAAGAAACAAATATAAATGTTTTTTTTTTTTTTTTTTTTATAATTTTTGTTTAGTTTAAAACATAACATATTGAAAAATCTTCATCGAGTTGATTGTTTAAAAAAATCTTCATCATTTTTTTATGATGTTGCTTGTCATTTAACTGAATCAAATAATCATACTCAATATAATATTAATGCACATTTAGTACCATTTTGTAAAAAAGATCAAATAATTGATCTTTTATCTCGATGGTCATTAAAACGTTTAGAACAAATTGATTGTTCATCAGCATTTTATTCAAAATTAATTCGTTATCAACCACTTATTATTATTCATTTAATAAAAGGTGATTTAAATGAAATAAAAAGTGATTATGATAAATATACAAAATATTTTCAAGAAAATGAGAAATTATTTGATTTACTTTCGAAAAAAGAAGCAAAAGAATTAATCTGTTTAATAATTGAATATTTAAATCAATTAGAAAAACATAGAAGATTAATACCAGAATTTATTTCATCGAAACAAGAATATTTTTTTAAAAAAGTTCCTAATGAAATGATTCAATTAATAACAATTGTTGCATCAAATCAAGCAGGTTTTTATTTTGATTTATTTATCACTTCATAAATAATTTATTTATTTAGGTAAAATAAAATATGCAACACGTTGGAATAGTGAAGGATGTGATCTGGGTTCATTTCCATTACCTCATTCATTTTCTATTGAAAATTATGTTCGTTTATTTATTGCTTTATATGATACATGTAAATGGTCATCAAATAATACAATGGTTACTTTTGAATATCTATTAAAAAATCGACGCGATCATTTAAATCTTTATTCATTAAAAAAAGAACAAAAATGGTTAATTGATATTATTATTGAAAAACATATTGGAAAAGAAAAATTTTTAGAAAAATTTTTAAAAGAAGGAAATGAAAATCATTTTCAATTATTTGAAATATATCCTCAATTAACAACACCATTGTCTCTTCATTTAATATCACAATATGAACGTAATGGAATAATTGATGATAAAAAACGTTTATCATTAATTCGTTATCAATTAATGACACAAGAAATTTTTGATCAATTTTTATTATTATTTAAAAAAACAGGTTCAGATGTTAATCAACGTCAACAAAATTATTCACTTTTTTTTCAATGTGCTATTTCAACAAATGAACAATATGTTAAAAATGTTCTTCAATGGATTGAAAAAAGATTTACTAATGAACAAATTATTGTTATTGAATATTTTTTAGGTCAATTATCTTCATCTAATATGCGATTTAATTTAAAATTTTTACCAAATAATATTAATTCAATTCAAACTATTATTGATATTGCTATTAATCATTTACAACAATCAACAAATACTTTAAAAATTATTATTTCTTATGGAATATTTTTACTTCAATCTGTTGAAAATCATCAAAATAAACAAGAAAAAGAAATAATTCAGAAATTTGCAACAAAAATTATCAAACAGTAAGATTAACTTTATATTATATATTTTACTTAGAATAAATCTATTATATAACAAATTCTTTCAATCAAATACTTAGGGCATACCAAAAGTAGTGTCACCATTATCAAATTCCCTTATAGAAAGGTTGAAAAAATTTTCTTTCTTTTACAAAAGATAGAGCGTCTTTCGCTCTATTTTTCTATGCTTTTTGATCATACCTTAACTAATGTCATGATAATAAATTTTTGATAAGACTTTTTTCGTTACCATGTTTGCTGGTGGTACTATCTCACAATGAGTCAGACGGATTAGTTTTTTACTCCACTAATACATTGTATTAACAACCAAAATATGCCATAAGGTGCAGCGTGAAAAGCTCTTCAATATCCATAAGAGCACTCATTTTCTAGTTTCACTTTTTGTTTTCAAAACGGACAAAGTTTTGAGTGATCGAACTTTGGCCGTTGTAAAAACTAATCGTATAGAATTTTCCTTTTTTTCAAAACGATTACGATAAACTTTACTGTGTAGATTGTAGAGCCTTTCACGCTACATCTTTTGGTGTATTTTGTTTTCCTTTAATAAAGCATATTAGATGATAAAATGATCAGATTACAAAAAATGAATTCGTCGTGTATCAAAAATAGGATCTTTTTCCATGGCCGAAATTTGATCGCTCAAAATTTAGTCTATTTTAAGAACAAAAAGTGCAACTAGAAAATAAGTGGTCTTATGGAAATTGTAGAGCTTTTCACGCTGCATCTTATGGCATATTTTGGTTGTTAATACAAGTAGTAAGGAATTGAAAACTACAACATACAACTTACAACGAGTAAATATGTTAACGAAAAAAGTCTTATCAAAAATTTATTATCATGATACTAGTTAAGGTATGATCGAATAGCATAGAAAAATAGAGGGAAAGACGCTCTATCTTTTGAAAAAGAAAGAAAATTTTTTCAACCTTTCTATAAGGGAATTTGGTAATGGTGACACTACTTTTGGTATGCCCTAAGTATATTAAAAGAAATAAAAACTTTCTTTTGATTTTCAAAAAGAAAAAATTTAAATGAACATAAATTATTATTTTTTAAATCAAAGAAAAACAATATAGTTGAAAAATGATAATATAATTTAGTTTTATTTGATATTATCGTAAACAAAATGTAAATTTAATTTAGATGTTATACAAAGGTTGATGGTCTTACAATTTATATATCATCAATATCTGAATCTTATCCAGAAGCACGTCATCTAGTTGCGGATATTCTTATATCAGATCTATTTCCAAAATTAGTTTCAAAATCGATGTTAGATGAATTAAATAATTCATTAAATTTATATTTAGATCAAGCTTGGCGTTTACCACAAATCGATTCATTTATTAATTCATTTTTTACTAAATCTCTTTCTTCATCAACAAAACTTCAATCATCATTTAAAATTGATACACATTCATCAATGATTTCATTATATTTAAAACAAAAATCAACTCGATTCGAACGTGTTAATCAATTAATTAATAATATTCATCGAATTTTTTTTATTAATAACGATGTTCAAAGAATTATTTTACATTCACAACAATATCGACAATTCATAGATGAATTAATTCAAGATGATAAATGTCTTACTATAGATAAATTATCAAATGAAGAATGTAAACTTGCAGCAGCATTACATTCTGGAACAAAAAATGTCAAATTACCTGCATTAGATATTGAATTATTGAATTGTTGTCTTCATCTATTAACTGGAAAACAACAAGAACATATTACAAATATTATTTTAAACGATTATCTTCAAGTAATCATTTTAATAAACAAAACAAAAAAAATATAAACTATTTCAATTATCTTTTTTTTCTAGGATAAAGATGTATCTAACTTGAATAAATTAAAATCATTACGTGTTCTTCGTCATCTATCACATACATATAACGAAACTCTTGAATGGCTTCATAAAAAGCAAGATTCTTCATTAGTAGTAAAGAATTCTAATGAAAATCCTAGAGGGCGTAATCGCGGTGCTAATGCTCAATCACTTGACGATATAATTCTATGTTTACCAGCTACATTTGATTTAACTCCAGAATATTTATTAAAACAATTTGATTTATTAAAAACAAATTTAAATGCATCAAATGTTAAATTTATTAGTGATGCTATGTTAAATATTTCACGTAAAATAAGTGATGAAATATTTTTAAAATCTTATCTTGAATTTATTCGTAATGAACAATTTCAAAAACTTGGTAAATAAAATAATAATAATAATAATAATAAATAATTATTTATTGAATATTATTTATTTATTTAGGTATAACAGCAAATAAAGAAATTCTTCGTTTATTAATTCAATTTGTATTTAATCCAAGTTTAATAAAAACTGTTATAAAACCTTTATGGGATAGTCATCCTCATCAAGATGTTCGTGCATGTCTTATTTTAACTTTACTTCATTTTATTGGTAAATCAAATTTAAATGATGATAATATTATTATTTGGCAAATTCTTGAACAAGCTGCATATGATGATTATCTTCCAGTTGTACAATCTTTATTTGCTGCTCATCGAGGAAAATCTCGTTGGCCATTATCTCAATTAAAAGATTCATCGAATAATATATTTGAAACATTTGTTAATCAAATACAATTTATGATATTAGATCATCCAACATCATTAGAAGCACGTTCATTCGCTTGGTCCAATATTGAATATGAATATTGTCATACTAGTAAATTAATTGAAAAAGCACAACATTTATTTATTCAATTTGATAAAAATGCAAATACTTTATGGGAAAATGCTTTTGAAAAAGTCATTGCATGTTATAAACAACAAAATATGTAAGTTGAAAAAAAAAAAAGAAAATAATTATTTATTTTTTTTCTAAATAGATCTTCATTAGATATAATTATTGATATTATTAAAAAAGTTATGTCATGTAGAGAAGAAATTGATTCAAAAGAAAATGCAATTGATAATCAACATGATTTACCAGTTTATCATCGGATACAAAAGATTTTAAAAAATCTTATTTCTCATATAAATCAATTTGATAATGAGAAAAAAATTCATTTTCGTTCACTTACTTCAATCGTTCTTCAATTTGATAAAACATTAGCTCCTCTTATTGGAAAATTATTAATAAAAATAGCTCAAAATAAAGAAGACATTGAAGATATATTAAAAATTCTACAAGAAAATTTATCTGAAAATTATTTTGAACGTATATTAACAGAATTATCAACTTGTATTAGCAAAGAAGATTCTTGTCCTTTTATTCAACAGTTAGATGTTGACGAAAAACTTAATTTAGCTCAATGGTTTATTAAAGAAAGAACTCGACCATTATTAGTTTTTGATTTACTTATAAACCATGTATTTAATCAATCTGGTGTTGATCGAGAACAATGTCGAAACCTTCTTCGACATTTGAGACAATGTGAAAATTTATCTGTACAAGAACAAGCTATGAGTTATATTGTACCTTGGGAAAAAGATGGAGGTATCAACGATAATGATCGAATGAGCGTTTCCAGTGAATCAGACGATTCTAACATATCTGAATAAGATATTTTTATCACATATTAAACTTATAAAAATAAAATAAGATTTTTTTTTTCATTGCAATTTATTATGTTTATTGTATCATTAAAACAATTTAATATTGTTATTATATTCTAGAATGATATGCTTAAAAACTTTCAGAAAGATTACTATTGTAGAGTTTAAGTAGTTCATATAATTCATCATATACCTGTGAAACAAATTGTATTGAAAGACCGGCTTTTTAAATAAATGCCACACACTTATATTTATTGATTTTTAGTTCTCTTTGCTGATCTAATTTACTACCTCTTAAACAAAATATATAATTATTGAAAATTGAATAATTTTATAATCTTTGGATAGAATTCAAATCTCAATAACATTTATCTTTTTTTTATAGTGACAATAATTAGTACTGTTTTAAGTCAATGAAAAAGGCTCTGAAGATATATTTTAATTTAGGTTCTTTTAATTTCTAATTAAATATTTTTTGTTACTATTCTATGAAGACGTTTTATTTAAATCAAGCATTGTTTTCAAAAAAAAACATAGATGACGATGTTTACTGGTAAGAATGGTTTCTGTCCGCGGTAGTATAGTGGTTAGTATCCCCGCCTGTCACGCGGGAAACCGGGGTTCGATTCCCCGCCGCGGAGTTCTCTTTTTTTCTTTTTTCGTTATTTTCTCTTTCTCGTTCTGTTGTTTGTAACTCCTGTTACAAGTAATACTGTTAAATGCGTGTCTATTCTATACTGTTTTAACAGTTTTATTTGACTCGATTAGTTTTTTATAGTTTGTTTCGTTAAAAATCTATTAATCAATTAAAAAATTGTCTTCATCAATTTTGAAAAATAAAAAAAATATTAGAAACGAAAAAAACAATTTTTTTTAAAAAGTTGCACTGCATGGAATGGTATATTTAGTTTGAGTTATTACATTTGAGTCAGAAACGTAAAAAAAGTCACAACAAATCTCGATTTGTCATTGAACAATATTTTCATGAGTTTTATCACAAATAATGATCTTCTCTACAATTTTTCCTACATTTATGATTCCAAGGATACCATTATTCCATGTTATTGAATTGTTACATCACAACAGTAGTGTTCAGATTTCAACAAAAAAAAAGAAATGACTCCGCCGAATTCGATGGCCTATCCTGAACTAAGATGTAATGTATATAATTTTGTAGAGTGAATTGTGGTGCATCGAATGCTATATAAGAAATAAAGTTTTACGAAAATTTTCATGCGCTAAAAGTCAATACACTGCATATAATGCTTCAGAGATATTTTTAGGATGCAGAGACGTACACTGCGCACGCGATTGGTCCGTACTCTAAGGGTAAATCTGACTCATAGTTGTGTGGCCACTCTGCTCGAGAGATTTCGAAAGTGGAACGAACACGATCATTCTGCGTGGGCCTATTTTTCTGCTTGTGTGACCTCGCGGTAGCAGTTTGATCATGTTAACATTTCCAGTTTCTTCACGTTGAAACTGGAAAAGCCGAGTTAATCTTAATGTCGTGCAGCAACACTTGTATCCTTTCCGTGTTAAATCAAGAATGACAAACAATCGGACATCGACTTGGTATTCATTCTTGGAAAAAGTTGTCATTTTTAAATTCTACTATTAATGATTTTGAATTATCGGAAAGTCTTAGTTTGGTACCCCTGTACATATATCGAGTTAAATTTGGTGAATAAATAGACTTTTATGGTTTTATTAATGTTATACTGTTGTTCATACGAAAGTGTTCATTAATGAAATACTATATGTTCAGAAACATTCATGCGATAAATCTTTGAAAACAAAAATCATCAAAAGAATTCTCCACTTAGTTAGAGGCAGCTGTCGCGCAGTCGCTCGACGGTGCGGAGCAGCCGTTCCACTCAGCAAAAAGGCTTTTAGTGCAGTGGCCACTACCGCCAATGTCTAGACGCTTACGTCAGCTTTTCCGCCATCCGCACGTCGTTTTTTAAGCGCGGTGTACATCTCTGGTATGAGTGTACGATGTATGTTGATGTCGGGTATGAATGTCAATGCGGACATTTCTTCATTCAAAGTATACCTACAATCATAACCTCTATTCTCACATATTTTGTTATTGTGCTACACTTGCGCGTTGACAATGTAAATCAATTACACATTTCTATTCTAACAAATTCGTTATTCATAATAAGATTTATTAATCGACAAATAAATCTAAACGTACTTTAGTTTTAATTTTGACAAGAAAGCTCAGCTTTATTTTTTGCAGCAATTAATTAATAAAAAGTACTTTTTTTTTTGTTCTTTTATAGTTAGCCGTTGAAGTCAAATAATTCCGGTAGTGCTTCATTCAGCTGGTGTAAAGAAAGATGAAGACATGCTCGACCTCTATCGAATTGATTTTGTTGGTTTGCATCGATGTTCAATTGAAGAAAAAAAAAATAGAATTGAAAAGAACTTCATGTAAATAAACATTAGCTTGTGCTCCTGAAAATGTCAACAACAAAATTCCAAGGAGTTGTCAATCCAACTACTAATCCAACTCAAACAGGAAAAACAAAAGATGATATTCCTACACTCAAGAACAAAGTCACAGAAGTAAAAAAAAGAGCTTTTTTTTTTAATTACAGTTTCCATTTGTTTTTGCTCACTAAGCTTGAACATCAAATAAATGATTATAAAATAAAATTAGATGAATTACGTCGTTCTAATACAACAACAGTGGTGAAACTCGAAAAAGAATATGTCAATACAATTGTTCCAGCGTGTGTTTTTCATTTCTAATTGTTATCTGTTCTTTATTCCTCTTTTTTTTAAATAGATTTAATCGTCCTGAGAAAACCAAATCATGTGAAAAATGTGAAGAATTTGAACGAATACTTGAAACTGAAAGAAAATCAAATGCACAATTAAAAAAAATGATTGAACATAATGATAATACCAAACAACAACTACAACAATCATCAACAACAAATCCTAATTCATGTTCAAAATGTTCAGATTTAAAACAATTATTAGATATTGAAAAAGAAAATAACCTTCAAATAACTCAACAATGTCAAAGTCAAAAAAAGCAAAAAGAACAAGAACGAAATGCTAAAGAGGTTTTGCTTTTTAATTTAAAACAAAATAAAATTAATTTTCGTTTGTTAATATAGATATTTGAACGAAGTATAGAAATAATTCAATCAGAAATAATTCAATCAAAAAAATCATCTGAAGTATTCCGTTATGAAAATCAAGAATATAAAGTTTGTTTCTTCTTAAATTGTTTTTATCATTTTTGAAAAAAAAAATCTTTCTGTTAACATAGAAGAAATTTGAATTAATAAAAAAAGAGCATGATGAAAAAATGGCTGATTTATGCAATCGAGAAGACGAAGCAAAAAAAGAAGTAAAATTTCTTTATTATTTTATTTAATATTTATTGAATAAAGATTGAAACATGGGAACAAATGTATCGTGAATGGATGGCAACGATGGAAAGACGAGTTAATAATTTACAAGTTACTAATGAAGAACTTCAAGTAACTTTTTTTTCGTTTCTATAATAATAAGAACATCTTATATGATCAATTTCTAGACATGGTTACATAATGAGAAAGATACGAGTCAACAACATCGTTCTACTCATTTTGAAAATCAGCGTCGATAAATATGTTTTTATAATCATTCTAATTTTTCTATGACATTTGCGTGCTTTTATATATATCTATCTCATTTTTTATATGATTATCGTTTTTTTTGTCCACTATACCTTATTCTTGAAATTGATTTTAATCTCATTCAAGTTTTAATCACATGTCACGATGGAAGATTTTCAAGTAAATGTACTTCCACATATGAATAAATCAACTTATTTTTGTTATAAATATTGACAAAAAAAATTTTTTTTTGAGCTTTTCGCTTTATTTCGAGAATATCTTTTATCAAAACAGAATGAAGATTATCTCCTCTATTCAATTATTCATCACGAAATTCACTTTATCAGCATGTTTGATTTTGGATAGTGCAGGTTTTAGCATACTTGGCACCGATCAGATTGTTTTCGACCGAGCCGATCGGTTAAAACTCTTGGCTGGACCAATGCAGAACCGATGCATTTAATATATCAATTAAACAATCAGTTCTTTCGAGAAATAGTCCATTATTTAAGTTCCACGAAGACATACAATGTAAAATTCATATAACTCTGAGAGTTTCCAGTATTCATCTAGCAACTCAGAGCAACTAATACTGACGAGGGAACCTCCCCAACTGTCAAATCGCTTTTGGGTTCAGACTCTATGCATAAAGTGGACTCCAGTGAGGTATGAAAAATTCCAAAAGGATAAGTGCCCATAGGCCTTCTGTTTAGAGTTATAGGCATTTTACTGGGATTTTAGCCTGCAGCATGGTATATATCAAAAACTCGAATGACGGTATTTCCACCTGAGATTTTGTCCACAGAGAGGTCTATTGGTGGATAGAATGCTCTGAAAATTTCAACTCAAAATAACGTTCCCTTCTTGAGATATCAAAGTCTCAAAAAACAGAAAATTTTAGCATCTTTCGTGGGATATGAGTGATTTTTGGAACTTTAATATCTCGAGAAGAAAACATTCTTTTCAGCTAAAATTTTCAGAGTATTCTACCCACCAACAGACCTCTCTATGGGCAAAATCTCAAGTCGAAATACCGTCATCTGATTTTTGGGTACATACCATGCCACAGGCTAAAATCCCAGTAAAATGCCTATAACTCTGGACAGAAGACCTATGGGCACTTATCCTTTTGGGATTTTTCATGCCTCACTGGGATCCACTTTATGCACAGAGTCTGAGCCCAAAAGTAATCTGATAGTTGTGGAGATTCTCTCATGAGTACCTTCCGAAACTGGAAACTAGTAGACAGTCTTACTAGTGATAAAGATTCGAGATTGAGAAAAATTTTTTTTATCGAAATATGTATATAATTATATCAAGTATTATCAACAAGAGTGAGTACATGTGAGACCTCCGAATTGACTAGCATCGGCTTATGCAAAGTAGACTCATCAGTTACCGAACTGGTGGTCTAGACCAGTCCAACTCAACTCATAGGCCACCGATCTGATTAAAAAATCTTTCTTTTTAAAAAGAGTTTGCCTTTTCATATTAGTCAAAGTTATTAATTATCACTTACTATCTTTTCATTTCACAAATTAAATCATAAATTTTTTTTGTGAATCAGGTGAATAATGGAATGATATTTTGTTGAAAAATGTGAAGTGTTTTTTAAGTGAATAGTCAATTTAATTGGTATTACTAATGTATTGAATAAATGTTTGGATGGCGATATAAGATCGACAAATTACAGTGAAAGAAGTAACTGTCAACATGCTTAAGCCAATCGAATTTGTTGATCTTGTACCGACATATCAACACATTGTGAAGAAATTATTATTACTCAAACTTTATCTTTTTTCCTTTCCTCTACTTTGTATATTTAGTCGTTCTTCATTGCAGAAAAGTTTCAGTCACCGAAAAGACAATAATATTTTTTACATTGATCATACAGGACATATTCAGAGAATTTGTATTTTATTCAAGGTTCAGTTCATAGACAACCACCAATCTATTGAACAAAGTTTTCATATATATACAAAAAGTAATAGAAAATATTTGGTTTTAACCGATTTTTTTTATCTGATTGAAAATTGATAAGAATGTCGTTGCTTTAATCTAGTTTTAATCAAATTATTTGATTTTTCAATCGGTTTTGAATGAATATTGGATTTAAATCATTCGAGATGGATTTATAAATAAACAATTTTTATTGATTAAACTTTATGAATTAACTAAAATGAAATGAAATGTATCTTTTAACTTGAAAAATATAGCTATTCATCTATTCAATAAAGATATAATCAATCTTAATTTAATTTATCGATATTTTATGTTATACGAGTAAATTTCAATTGATATTGTCTCTTGAAGCGTGACTTGTACGACAAAGGTTGCTCTAGGATTATACTTACCATTTGTTGAGCCAACAAGTTCATCGAAAATTTGAGTTTCTAAGTTAGATCTCAAGATAAATGTCGTCTACGGTGATCGTAATTAAGGATGTGGGTTTAAACAAAAACTTCAGACACCCACACCCATCAAATCATCTCATTGAATTCAATCAAAAATATTAATGGAATGTTTTAATCAAAATCTGAATATAGCAACACTCTTATGCTATTTTTCACTTATATTTAATATTTGAAAAAAAGATTAAAAATAAGATCAGTTCATCGTCTAATATTTGTTAAAATTGTTTTCATTGTAGAATTGTATCAAATCATACGAACCTAACCTATAATTTGAAAAAAATTTTATTTGAATCAATATTTAATTCTTTAAATTTCTCAATGATTTATCGATAAATATAATTCAAAAAGAATAATTTTAATGGAATTGAAGTTCTTGAAAAATTTCCTTTATTTCTTTTTGAAAACGTATTGATAATTACTAGTAATTAAATCTTATGAAAACCAAAATAATTTCAATTTAATTTGCAACAATCTTCAAATAATCGAATCAACTAGATATATTATTGATACGAATTAGAATCAAAGTTCTTTTTTTCCGATTTCAATATTAATCTGATCGGTCTTGTTAATTTATTTTTTATTTAAATCCTTCGTTTAAATTTAATTCTAAAAAGACAAATAAATTTCTTCACTGGAAACTTTTTCTCCTCAAAACAAAATTCGTGAATTTGATATAACAAGTTTTATAATAAATGACATTAAAAATAAATGCAAGTATTCAACATTGTTGTTTATATTTCTTCTCAACACAAATTCAAATATGACAATATTGAAAAAAAAATCATTAAATTTCTCTTCTCATGTTTACCATTCGACAATAAAACTGTTCGAACCATTGTAAAAAATTTGTGAAAAATCATTTATTATCTTGTTTTGTTTAACGATGAATACTCATTTTCAAAATGATCATTCTATATTTCAAAAATTATTTATTTTCTTGAAAAATTCTCGTTCTCTTTTTTTTGAAATGTCAGTCTCAAAGGCAAACTTGTGTTGCTAAAAAATGACCAATTTCAATCCATCGTTTAACCCAAAGAATCCTTGAGATTTTTCTTTCGACAAAAAAAAATGATCAATGTTTCTGTTTTTTTTCTAATTATTTTATTGAACATAATAATCTAAAATTTTTCAAATATTAATAAGTAAAATGCATATTTATTAAAAGCAAAATATAAAAAGAAAAGACATTTCAACGAAATATGTCTCAAACATGAAAATAAAAACTCAATCAAAAGTTATCAATGTCAATAGCTTTTGAGAGTAAACAAAACAAACAGTGCAAAAGTTTTCTTTTCTTAAGCTTTTGTACATCTCCAAATCAAAAATATTTTCTTTCCAGTGTTACACAAATTAACAATGAAAACAACGTGTTCTTATTCTATCACGAAAAATTAATGTGACAAAAAAAAAAACAGAAGTGTCACACCAGATTTGCTTTACTAATTATATCATAAATTATGTTCACATTTACATTGCTTGTCAAGGTCCATATATTAAGGCCGAGAAATATTTGCTTAATTTCAATGACATATACAAAAAATCATTTTCGTTCGATTTTAGTCCGTAAACATATGCTACTGACTCGTGATTATTATACAAAATGCACTCTATCATTTCTTTCTTTCGTACCTTGGGGGGGGATGACGAAGTATATTTTCTTCCCCAATTATATATGCATCACATATTTCTCCTTATATACACAAAAAAAAAACACAAGCACCTTTTAGATCTATACAGTATTTCATCGTAGGAAATAAAGACAATGTCTCTAAAACTCGGTGATGAATTTCCGAACTTTAATTTAAAAACAACAGTTGGTGAATTTCAATTGCATCAATGGCTTGGAGATAAGTTAGTTAACAAATTTTTATTTCCCTATGAAAAATGAATATTGATCTTTTTTTTCATTTAGATGGGGAATTTTATTTTCTCATCCAGCTGATTATACACCTGTTTGCACAACTGAATTATCACGTGCTGCTAAATTAGCACCAGAATTTGCTAAACGAAATACAAAATTAATTGGTTTATCATGTGATGTTGTCGAAAATCATCATGGATGGATTAAAGTATATTATAATCCTACTTTGATTAAAAAAAATGTTTTTTTAATTTTTAATCTATTAGGATATTCAAGCGTTTGGTGGACCTAATGTTGAATGTTCTGGTAGCATATGTAAATTAGTTCTACCTGCTGAATTTCCATTTCCAATAATCGACGATAGTGATAGAAAATTAGCTAAACATCTGGGCATGATCGATCCTGATGAATTTGATACAAAAGGTTTACCATTAACTGCACGTGCTGTATGTGTTATATAAATTTAATTTTTATTGTTTTTCTAAAATGATTTCTTTAGGTATTTATTATTGGACCTGATAAGAAACTCAAAGCAAGTTTACTTTATCCGGCAACAACTGGAAGAAATTTTGAGTTTGTCATTTGTGTTTTCTTTTGAAAAATTTTTTCGTTTCATTTAATCTATTTCAATAGTGAACTTCTTCGTTTACTTGATTCACTTCAACTTGCAACTCGTTTACCAATAGCAACACCAGCTGATTGGAAGGTATATTATTCATTTATTTATTTCAATAATTATTTCCGCAAATTTCAGGTTGGAGATAAAGTCATGGTTCCACCAAATGTTAAAGATGAAGATGTTAAAAAATATTTTCCACAAGGTGTTCAAATAAAAAATGATCTGCCAAGTGGAAAAGGCTATATTCGCATGGCTCAAGTTTAAAACAATAATTTTTTTTCTTGTGACATTTTTAAAAATCTAGAAATCTGTTTAGTTAAAATAAAAGAAATTTTATTCGTCGATAATAAACACATATAATGACTGTCACAATCTGCTCCCGCCTTGATTAAATAAAGCATTTTTCAAAGGCGAGGCTAGATGAACAGTTTTTCTTTGTGTCTTTTATTTTGTGATGAAAGAAACGTTCTCGAAAAAAGCAATTAGACTGTTCGCACAACCCAGCGGAACTTTCATATCTTTGCTATTTTTTGTCTAACAAAGACTTTCTCACAGCGCGAGGTGTGTGAACAGTGTAAACGCAAATTTCTATATCATTACATTAGTTTCTATTTAAAAAAAGATTTGTATGATTTATCTCATCGGAAGGAACTGATCGACATGCTTCGCTTTATATTATTTATAACGCAGCGAGGCAAGACGAACAGTGACTTCCAAATAAGAATATCAATGTATAAATGAAGAATCTACTTACTGTTTCGTTTTGTCAAATTGTACAATTTCTCATTGATATTCACATCAATTTATATAACGTCAATGAGAGACAAGAAATTCATTGGTTAATTCAAGGTCATTGTTATTCATTGGTTATGGTCAATGAGTGACCCTTTGCCCGGTCACTCTCCCTTTGTTTTTTTTTTTTTTCTTGACAAGAATATTCGATGTATGAGATATAGACTGACCGCTTACGTCGGACGTCAACGTAAACAATAGGAGAGAGATTCATTTATTGTTTTATTGAGAGGTTTTTCTCTGGAAACCAATTTAATAGAAGATTTTCATCAATGAGAATTTTCTTGAAAAAGTTCAAAGAGTAAAATTAATCATAGAAAATAATTCTAGAAGAAATATGAAATCTTTTAATTTGAATGAGTGACACTTTTTTTTTCGAAGGTATCTATCGATTATGCTAAACGTTGAATTATATAAAGCAGTTTTTCACAAAAAAAATTGTTTTTGGTTATGTATTCGTATATGGTTTCTATCAATTAAAGAGATAGTATGACAAATCTTAAAAGAAATAATTTTCAAAATAGAAGAATTTAGTTTTTCATCGCAATAAGAGATACATGTGTTAAGAACTTGTTGTAATGTTTAAAATACACAAATTGAATGTGGCATTGGAATTCATATTTAAATCATTTGATAGAATAAACCGAGAATGAAGATTTTTCTCAATGATTAAATATCTCTCCTGTAGATTTTATTGTTTCATTAAAGGAAATGTGGTTTTTTTTTGTTTAAAAGTTGTAATTTAATAAAACGAATAATCCTCTAAGAATAGCTTTTCAAAAAAATAACCTATAAATTGAATGATCAAGTATTTTTTTTTTATAAAATTATGTTTGCAAATACGTAAATAAGATCAATATAAAAGATTTGTTTTATATTTTTAATTGTTTAGTTAAACTTGTGAATAAATTCATAGCCTTCGAGTTTATTAGACAATAAAAATGAAACAAAATAAAGAGTTTTTGTTTTAAGAATAAATACAATATAATAAACAATTTCAATGAGACATATTTTTAATAATCGATTTTGAAAAATAACTTCTTTGAATTATCAAATTGAATGTCAATATGAATTATTCTTGATGAAAAAAATTCGAAAGTTTTTGAAAATTTTATAATTTTATTTTGGGGTATAAGAAAATATTTTTATTTTGTTCGAATATTTATTTAATATTGAAAGAAACTAAATACACATAAAATATTCTTCTTTGTTAGAAAGAATAAAAAATGATAGATGTCATCAGTATAAAGTAAAAAACAGAAATAAATCATCGATGAAATTAATTTTTAACGTTTTAACTCTAATCATTGTGTTGGTCACTTAAAATTAAATATAGATTCAAAAATTTCAACGTCCTTCTTCTTCTTTATAATTAACAGTGTACGATATAATTATGTTAACATTAGTTATTGAATTTGGTCGTCAACGACGAAAATTTGATTTAATACATCCAATAGATATTAATTTACTTGAAAATCAAATAAAATTAGCATTTAATATTGAAGATCAAAATAATAATGATTATATTATACAAATATATGATGAACAAATAAATGATTATCTTGATTTAACACCTGATTTATTTAATTCAACAAATAAAAATTTACTTAAAGGTCAAATTATATTACGTGAATTAAATTCTTTTCAATTTCAACCAAAAGTAACAAAACAACAAATTGTTGGTCTTATTACATTAGAATCAATTGAAAATTCTCTTCAAAAATGGTCACAATTACTTCAACGTAAATTAATTTAATTTGTTGTTTTTTTTTGTATTTAAAAAAAATTTTTTTGTGTAACTATATATATAGATATTCAACTTGAAATTTCAAAAGAACTTGAAACAGTGAAAGAAACAATCATTGCTGTTAAATCTCATGTAAATTTTTTTTTTGTGTTAAAAAGTTTCTCTTCGATAAATCTTTAATAATTTAGTATAAATTAATTGATGAATCCAATACAGAAGATAATTGTCCTGCTTATCCAATAACAACAGATTGTTCTTCACCTTCTACTGGATCTCAAATTGTAAATAGAAATCCTTCACCAATATTTAATTTCAATTCAAATAATTCTCAATTAAATCGACCAATAATAAATCTTGAAGAAAAAGATTCATCTAGATCATTTAATAATGGAACATGTTTTAATCAACAACGATATCGAACGAATATTAAAAATAATCGACGAGGAACATATAATAATAATACAAAAATCTCAACAAATAGAGAAAATAATTTTTATTATCCTCCATCACATATTCCATCGAAACCAAGTAAATAAAATTATTTTTTTATTTAATTTAATTAAATATTAATTATTTTATTAGTTGAATATAATATTCCAATAACAGTTACATATCAACGTTTTCAAAGTGGTGTTGATTTTCAAGGTCAATTATCGAAATATTATAATCCAACATATTTTTTTCTTCGAATTTCAAATCAAACAGAATCATATGATGAAATGCACAAAGATATTAAGTCAAATAAAGATTTTTCATTGAAATTTTTAAAAATAAAATATTTTTTCTTTTTATTTTATAGTTTATATTATAATAGTATTGATTCAAATCAAAGTTATTTTCCTCAATCAGGAGAATTTTGTGTAGCAAAATCTCTAAATGATTCCAATTGGTATCGAGCTCGAATTATACGACTTGTCGGTATGTGTTTTTTTTTTTTAATATTGAAATTTTATTATTTTCTTCATTATTTTAGGTAATGAAAAAGCTCAATTAATATTTATTGATAATGGTGAAATAAGTGAAATCAATGTCAATTTAATTCAACCATTAAATAGTAAATTTAGTGATCGTCCAGCACAAGCACTTGCTTGTACACTTGCTCAAGTTCGTTCATTTGAAATTTTTCTTCATTTTTTTTAAAACTTTTTTTCTTTTTTTTAAACAAAAAAGATTTTACCATTTACACAAAATGAAAAATGTGGATGGAATCGACGAGCATGTATGAGTTTAGAAAATGCTATGAAAAATGAACGATTAACAACAGGAAAACTTTTATTAAAAGTAACTGTAGCTGATAATAATCAAGCTAAATGGCCAATGATGTTTATAAATATATCAACAGCAACTGTACCTGTATGAATATTTATTTTAATCAAAAAAATATTTTTTTTTAATTCAATTTTTTTAATATATAGAATTTAAGTGAATATATGTGTGATTTATATTTAAGTCGTCGATGTTTAAATTTAGAAATAAGTGAATATTGGTCTTTAAAAATTCGTCCAGAACAATATGCTTTGTTCAATTTATCATCATTAATTAATCAAAAACAATATTTTATTTTCAATAATAATCATCAATCTACATTGTCTTTCGATCAAACTATTGATATGATTACCAAGGATCCAGAATTTATTTCTCGTCAATAATCAATAGATTTGTTTTTTTTTTGTCAAAATAAACTTGTTTTTCTTTGTGTGTGTATGTGTGTGTGTTTTTGTTATTACGAAAATAATCGATAGTGTATTTTCCTATTCAACTAAAGAAATTTCTACTCAATAATTAAATTAATAACTGATTTATATTAAATGTGAGTAAATTGAAAAGAATGAGATACTTTCGGTAACATATTTTTGCTGCCGCAAATGTAACGAACTTGATACCCAAACCTGCAACACGTATATATATATATCCTTAGAGTCGAGCAATTTGAGATCATTTCGAATATGACCCTTATCAATGAGCAGAAGTCTTTCGGTTGGTTGTTTGTGAGTTGAACAAAGTTAGCATATATATATTGTACATTGTGGTTCACGATAGATCTTATAAACTTACGCATATGTATAGAATAGTGTTGCCAGATGCTAAACTTGAAAATCCGGAATTCCAACTTGAAAATCCGGAAAATTCCGGAATTTTTTTTTCTGAAATCCGGAAAAAATTCGGAAAATTTTTTTAGGATCAGTCTTGATTGCTTAACGTGCATTTTTCTCCTCAGATTATCGATAATGTTATTCTTTATCTTCACAAAATATATTTGAATGAAACAATAGAAAATAAAACACATATCAAGTATATTCTTTTCAAAAATTTAAATTCTTCTAACCATTCAGATCTGAATATTCTGTTTTTTTCTTTTGTTTATCTTTTTGTTTTATATTAGTTTCAGTGATGTTGGGCTGCGCTCTTAGTGATAGTTCATTTTCTACTAAAATTTCTACTTCTTCATTTTGATCAAACATTCATTCTGAAATTGTACGGGAAAAATAAATGCTGAGTGCAAATTATCATTTTTTTTTACTGTCGTTGATGAAAAGGAAAGTCATTAATCTTTTAGGTAGACCAATAGAAGACAGCACTAAACCTCTAAATCAGTATTAATTTGTTTAAAAATGTAAACCAGTAACTGAAATATTATTAGGATGGATAGAAAGCATGCAAAATCTGAAAAAAATCGTAAATGTGGAAAAGCGCGGAAACAATATGGAAAAAACCGAAATCCGGAAAAAATCCGGAATCCAGAAAAAATGCGGAAAAACTTCCAAAATCCAGAATTTTTCTGGAAAATTCGGAAGATCTGGCAACACTGGTATAGAATGATGTTTAGTTAGACAGATGCTATGTATGAATTTCGCATGGAAGAAGAATTTCGCTTTGAAAAGGGAAACTAAGCAAACTTGTATTTATTATGACACTGTAGATTTTTTGATAGGTTTGTTTTATTGTAGGTTTTTAGTGTTTAAGAGTGGTAGTAATCTTGAAGAGTATAAGGGAAAACTAGAGGTTCCTATCGGAGGCTTTTCGTAACCTGCTGCTTGCTGTTTATCATTGTTGACTGTGTTCAATGTGAATTTTTTGGGGATAATCATAATTCGTATATCGTTTGATGTTGTACTCTGATGGTTGAAGTGCACTGTGTTGCGAAATTTTGTTTATTTTCTTACTAGTCGAAAGACCATTAAAATGTGTCTTTAACTAGCTGTGGAGTATTATGCTATCACAAATTGGACATCTTTGAGCTCGTCAAGTACTTCTGCATCTCTACATTCTTTTGACAGTCATGCTTAAGAGAACGCTCTCTGACTGGAGAACTTTTAAGAAAGTGCAAGAGAAACGTGAATGATGATTTTCTTGCTTATCTTCTAGATGTGCCTACTGGAGAGAACATGAGATGCATGATCCTCTGCTTGAAGAACTACGTTAAGTCTTTGCCTATCTTGTTAAGGATGGACCATGTGAAAATAGTTCTCTTGCAATATTTTCATTCAGTAAAGAGTATTAAAATGAAACGAAGATCATATTTTGTATAATGGTTTCTTCTGTTCTAAGCTTTCACTCGTATTTTTTGTGAAGCTCACGGAGAACATATTTAAATATTGGGAAAAAGAAATAAATTGTATTAGAATCATGAAATTGTTCGAGTCGAACTGTTTTGTTTGTTGGAAAACTATACAAAAAAATACAATAGGAAACAGAAACAGTATACTCTTTAAGTCTAAGATGAATAAACATTCGTTAGGAATGATTCTCTAGTCGTATACTTGCGGCAAATCAAAAGTTATGAGATTTTGAAGAACAAAAAATATAGAAACAAGTTGTTGAAAATTTTATTTCATCAAATGTTCAAGATACAGTTACATTCATTGAAGTCATTTTCGAAACTTTTTTTTAATAGTTATCTTTATTAATCGAGTTCATAATCTTAGCTACGAAGGAGTGCAAGAATATAGTACCTTGGTGGTTGGATTATATTCTGTTTAATTAGATCAAAAAATCATACAATGCCAGATTTAGAGAATTCAATGGTTCTTGAATATTTTTGATGCCTTTCGATTCAATATAGTTCAACACATCTTTACGAACGTATAATTTGACATTGTCTTGATGATGTTTTGTGGTATGTGTATTAGATGCTAGTCTTTTATTCCAATTTTTGTCAATGAGCAGTTTCAATCAAACCTCGATATGATATATTGGTGATTGATGGTTTGTCTTTGTTCGACATAATAGATTATCAGATGTACAGTTGTTTTGAAATAGATGCAACAGAATTTTTGGAGTAAAACAACTTCGTCGAACTGTAGTAGATGGAGTTCCTTCGATTGATATCTAGGAAGTATTCGGTGATTTTTCGACTCATTTGTTTATAATAAAACTATGACTCGTTACTTGTCACTACATTATATAATGGTCATATTATTTGTTGGAATTTCGCCAAATTTTCTTAAAAAATACAAACTTCTTGGTTTTCTGTCAGATATTTGAGTACTTAGAGAGCAGTCATTGTTTTTTCAGTTTCGAATAGTTGGAACTGATTTGTTTGGTAATGCCATAACTCATGACAGTTAACACTTGTAATTCATGAATTGTAAGATGAGAGTCATTATCAATAGGGCGTCAGACTTCTTCGGTATTTTTCACATATTCTCTCGATTACAGACGGACCAAGTCATGATTGACTGCCATAAAACGATTTTAACAATCGGGTCATTATATTATAAGATGCAGCTTGCTCGTCGAAAACAGAATATAATTTAACATGAATCGATTTCGGTTGAGTGTTAAGTGTAGTACGTATTTTAATGTTCAAGAACGGAAATTTTCTGTATTCATCTAAAAATCATGGTGTATGGATTCTATCAAAATTTTTCATATAACTATATCAGTTGACTGATAATGAAGGTTTCGTGCAGACGTATAGAGCACTGATTGGTACTAGAATCACATATGGAAAGATTTTGTTGTTCTCAAGCTTTCTGTATTTTGATAGAATATGAATTTCATCACTTTTAATACATCCTCAGTATATCGTGATTTTAGTTTATAATGAAGACAGTATTAAATTTCTTTGACGATCTTAATTCATAGTTATTGAATAGCTTCATAATCTTCACATTTGAGATTGAATATAAAATGTAATATCATTAAAAAAATAGATTAAATTATATGATATGGAAATATTGGATCTCGACTTCGTGTTTTGATAAAACTCTTGACAATGAATTAATATTTAATTAGAATTCAAAATTGTGTCATTTCACCTTACAGCTGAACGTAGACGTTTTACTTTCAGATATGTTACGACAAGTAAATCGTATTTTGTGTTTTTTTTAAAAATTTCATGAACGTTAGTGTGGAAAAATCTAATCTTTTTCTCTATTTTGATAAAAGTCTAACTTAATCATTGTGTATCTGGAAGTCACTAGATTGAACAATGAATAATCGATCAAGGAAAAACTTGAACGGAATATTTTGCAGAGAAATTGCTCTATTATACTACATATTCGTTTCAGGCGAACCACAGATCAAGAATAATATATTTTCATGTTCTTCCAACAAATCATCACAATTAAAGGCTGCACTCCTAAAAACAAAAACCTTAGCAGAAAATAATTGAAATTAAATGATGCGCTCTTTTTCTTCTTTTGTTTGACTTTCTTCTTTCTATTGAATACATTGAACATCTACCTATTTTCTTGTTTTGAGAAAATTGTTTTTTATTTTTTTTTACTATAACTCATTTGTATGAGTTAGAAGATAATGAGACAATAATCAAATTGTTTTCTACGAAAAGAGAGAAAAGAATATTGAAATAAATAGATATCATTCATATGATTTTGCTTCGTTCACACATATACTAATCATCAGACTTCATTGACAAGGTATCGCAGTTTTACTTGTTAAATATTGAACAAGCAGATTAAAAAGAGACGGATAGTTTTATTATTTGAACACAAAATAATCAAAATATCGGGAGGACATTTTACGTTTCATTGAAATTTATTTTCCATTAAAAACTATTAGCTAATCAATCGGATATATTTGCTTTTTTTTTTACTTTACTTTTCGTATTGGAAGAGAATTGTGAAATTCGACCCCTGGAATTCGAAACCACTCGTTCGTTTTAGCATTCTAATAGAATGATCACTCATTACGGATATAAATCGATAATATCGGTTAGTTGTACGTAATGTAGATGCTCAATATTTTGAATATTGTATACTACGAATTCGAAAATAAGCTATAGAAAATTGAGTAAAACCTATATGAATTCATCAATGAATTTTTATCTTATCGCAAATACCATAATTGAGAAAATAGAAATTCAAGCTTTGGTTTTCTAATTGGAAAATCGTGTTTGAATTCATATGAACTTTTCTAAAATATTAAATGGGATTTTACTCTCTGAACACTTTCTAGATAATGGAGAGATTTTGAAAAGTGAGTGCTCGTTCGATGAAAATAGCATATATTCATAATCATCGTCCCTTTTTATATATTAAAAGAGTACAGTTAGCTCGGATAAATGGGATCATTCCAATAGAAATAATGACGACTTATTTCTGATACATGCTGATAAAATAATAAAAAGAAACTACCATTCAATAGCCCAATGTGCCTTATATAGAACCTAAAAATATCTCGATAAACGAACGAAACGTTGTTATACAATTTTTAAAATAGTGAAACCTATATCGATTGGTTTTTTATCAGTTAAAAATTACACTAGGATATTTGGATCACTCCAGCTATTTTAGCTGAAGGTCTCTTTCAAAATGTCTACTACTTTTACAGCATAATTTCACACAGCATCCCTATGCGAAAATTGTTTTTCTCCTTCAAGAGACTTCATGATAGTTCAAGAGCGAAGTTCCTTCTCGTTTTTCAGAGGTCTCTTATGTATCCATTTTTGTACCATTTTTATTTCTTTAAGATTAGCTACACACCATTTTTGATCTATGAAAATATTCATTAAATAGCAAAGTGTTTTTTGATGAGAAACTTTATAAGATATTCTTTTGGCACAGTCATAAAAACATCAACGGTAGATGTCGCAATGCATCAAGTTATTCAATTTTGATGAATAACATAACAAATAAATAAATTACTTTAAATAATATATATATATAATGAAGAAAAGCATCTCTTTAACTTCATTTAAAAAAAATAGTAATTTAGCTTCTATCTAATTGGATAAATGTAGTCTAATTACTCATTTTGGGTAAAATATTGTTATTATTGATGGACAATTGATAGAATATTTATTTTACATTCACCTACGACAAAAAAAAAACAAAACGTAATGTTTCTGTGACCGATAAAATAATATTGAATGAATGTTTTTCTCATATCTTATTTGACTTATTAAAGAAAAAACAAAATTTATTTATTGTTTCTATGCTTTTAAACAATGTTGCCGCATTTATATTAATACATTGGTCATGTGTGTGTTTCTGTTTGATGAATGAGAAAAAGAAAAACATGTAGGTGTTTTATTCGATGAAATAGGTGATGAGTGGTTGTTATGTTTAAAAAAGAAAACAAAAAAAAAAATGTTATTTTTAGCTTAAGATTCTTTTGCGATGATCAGTCCAATGGCAAATAATATGGATGAAAGTGAAACAAAAAATCCAAATGAAACAGTAAATGGAAAAGGAACAAATAGTCTTTTATCTACATTTAATCGTAAACGTCGTCATACATTTGATGTTGATTTAAAAGTTGAACGTGTACTTTCTCTTCCATATGCAAGTGGAAAATTTTTTTTCAAAATTCGTCTTCTTAATGGTGGAAATCATATTTATACATGTCATGAGTAAGATTGATTATTTATTTTTATTTTTTTTTTGAAAATATTTTATTATTATATATTAATAGACGATTTGAAGTTCATGAAAATAAAGTTGAATTTAATATCGGTGATCATTTTCAAGTCAAAATGACATCACGTATTGATAATTTTACACTTGATCACTGTTATTGTCGAATTTCAATTCGAAAAGTTTGTTTGAAAAAATAAAAAAAAGAACTAAAATATTTCTTATTATTTTTTTTTTATAAAGGAAGGACGTGCTGGTCATTCATATGAAAAAATAGGTTATTATGATTTGGATTTAGCATCCGTTGCTGGAACTGGTGATGAATCAAAAGCATGTTTACTTAATGGTTATAAACAAACGAATAGTAGTCCATCGAATGCTTATCTTGAAATAAGAATGAAAGTAACTGTTCTTGAAGGTGATCATATTTTTCGAAGGTTAGTTTAGTTTTGAATTTAAAATAATTAAATAAAATGTAAATTTCTTTTTTTTTTTGTTCTTTTTCAAGACCAGATAATGATCATCCATATATAAAAATTGAACAAACTCCATCGAATAAAAAAATCCATGAACCATTTCCAGGTTTGTTAATTTGTATTATTTTTCTTTCAAAAAAAAAAAATTATATATAATAAAGATGAATGTTCATCAACAATGACCGGATCTGCTGGTGAACTTTATCCTCCATTGACCACAAATTCCAATCGAGGTCATTCTCGTCAAGCAAGTAAAAGTAGTATGTGTTCAAATTATTCAACAACTAGTATCAATAGTACAAATAATTCAAATCCTCCGGATAAAAATCATTTAAGGTTAGTATTTTTGTTTTTCTTTTGTCATCACACAAAACGTAGAAAAAAGAAATTCTTAGACATATTTTATACGGGTCTCATCATTTTCACAATGTTCATTCTGATCCGAATATGCTTTCTAATTGCAGGTAGACGCATGGATATATTCCTGCTTTCTTGTTCTTCTTGCTGCTTTAATGAAGCAAAAAAAAAAAAAATCTTTGATTCGATTATAAAATATCTTGTGTGTTTTTTTTTAGACAAGGCAGTGACGAAGAGAGTCATTATCAATCACAACGACGTTTAATTAATAAAAGAAGAGTTAGTTTAGAAAATTTTCTAAAAATAATATGATTATATTATTAATTTAGACTCCATGTATTGATCAATTTGGAGATATTCAACGACGATTACATTCAACTAGAGTTGATGCAAACGAAATAGTCAATAGTGTACTTAATAATACTGCAAAAACAGTAGAAAATCCAAATGGTTTGTTAAAGTTTTCTTTTTTTTTTAATGAAATTTAAAAATAATTTAAATTCAATTTAAGGTTATTTATGTTTAATGTATAATGAAGATGGAACAGCACATGTTGGTTCATCGTCATCAGCATCTCTTTTTGTATCTACTTAATATTCGTTTTTTTCTTGTATTTATTGATTATTCTTTAAAATTGTCCTCTTCTTCTTCTTTTCTTTTTCTAATTAATGGAAAATGAGTCTGAGTCTCGGTGTTTATTTTTTTTTTCTTTTTAGAAAATAAAACAATTCTTGAAATTAAATTGTATCTTGAAATATTCGATCGAACAAATCAATATCGTCGAATAATTATTTCTGTTTTAACAGATTTAACTGATATTTTATTAATTTCATATAAAAAAACTTGTTAATTGTTTTTCTGAGTTAACATCGAATTTCAATATTGAGAAAAAAGATAGAGAAATATAATAAACGAAAGAAAAAAAGTTTTCTTGAATAAAAAAGAAAACAAGAAAATTAAATAGATAATGATCGCTATCTTCCATTAGGAAGAACATATGATGAAACAAATGAAGCTGTATGTGATAAAGCATTAACATCAAAAACATCTTCGTAGTTTTTTTTTAGCTTCTAAAAAGAATATGCTTAGGTTGTAACCCTCTTCGCCCAAAAGCATTTCGTCGAAAGACCTGTAGGACGCTTTGGACTGTTGTGAGCCCTTTAGTTCTTATATAGGCTTGCTCAGCATGAAGAGATCAACTCATTTTGCCCTCATTCTCACCTTTGGGGCGTCCTTCGTGACCAAAAAATACTTTCGACGAAGTATGTTTCGACGAAGAGCATGTAGACCTATGCTTATTCATTAAAATATCTTCAAGCAAAAAAAAAAGAAATGTTGTTCTTATTTATGATGAGTTGTTAAATATTTTGTTTTTTTAATTTTCAATTTAATATGATTAAATTAGAAAAAAGAAAACAAAGATTCGAATCATTGACCAATAATTGTTATTAGTTATAAATATCTTGAATATTTTTATTATAATTTATGTGAATAACGTGATCATTGTCAATTAATTATTTTATGGATAAAATTGGAAGATCTCTTCAAGTAAATATTTAGTTTTTTGAATATTTTGCTTTAGTTAAATAATTTATGTTTAGATTAATATTGTTTAAAAAGTTTGTTCATCAATCGATCGAATTCATATTTAAAAACTAATGTTTAATAAATTAATCCGAATTAATTGTTAATCAATGAAATAATATTGAAAAAGATAAATTTTTTTAAATTAAAATATAAGACAAAAAAGATTATCGATATTGAAATCATATTTAAATAATTTAAATGAAATGAATACAATCAGGAAACAAATATAATTCATTGATTTTATTTGTATACTTTCACTTTTCTTCAGCTTGTTTCTCAATAAATCAAAATAATTGTCAACGAATATAATACTATTATAAAACAATTGACTTTTTCTATAAATATAGTACTCTTTTTTTTTTGTTCAAATTTAATAATCAACATATTGTTTTTAACGTTCGTTTTAATTTTCTGTCAATCGTTTAGTAATTTATATTTTTTTGTGTTGTTCATTGAAACTGCATATATATAGTATACAGTTTCAATATTAATTTTCTTATTTTTTTAAAAATTTTTAAAGAAGAAAGAAAGATTTTCCCGTATAACTTAAAATGGTTGTAATTTGAATTGAACTTTTTTTTGGTAATTTATAGATTGGATTTATCTGATATTGTATGTTGTTTAAGCAAATATATATTTGTATTGTTCCGTCTAAAAAAAAAAGAAAGAAAGTTTGATCTGTTTTTTCTTTATATTGTATTATGTAGAAATGGTTAAATTAAAATAGAATAAAAACATATATACATGTGTATTTATTCGAAAGATAATCATTTGTTGAAAAATGATTTATCTTAAATCTTGAAGATGATTCCATTTTCTAAGATTGATTATTTTGAAAATTCTTCTATAAAACAATGAAAAATCAATTATAAGATATAAAGAAAAATCTAATATAAGACTGAATATGACAATAATAGATTCTACATTAAAATTTATTCATTGATGAAACAGATTAACAATAATTTTTCATAAGAAAATTTCCATTGTTCCATTTGAATATAATTATGATAGAATGAATCAATTTTTTGATTAACATATTTCTTAACTCAATAAAAATAATTTAATTTTTAGATAAATGTCTGTGGATCGTCCATTGGAGTGTTGGCATCATGTTGATGAAAAAGAATATATAAGAGGTTGTCATCGTATTGCTTATGGTCGATGTCCAGCATGTCAACGAAGAGTTTGTTTACAACATTTGAGTGAACATCATAAAACTGAAATCGAACCTCATTTTGATCTTCTTATTGATCGTGCTAATCAAATTCGTGTACGACTTGATACATTGTCTATTGATGAAACTAAACAACGAGCACAACAATTTGTAGAAGCATGGAAACGTAACATTTTATTTTTTTCTATTTATTTAGATTTTGTTTTTATATAGAATATTCCAAATTGTTTAGGTCGAACCATCGAATCAGTTGAACGTGCTGCTCAAGATAAATTAATTGAAATCGATGTTGCATGTGCTGAATTGACTGGTGAAATAGGTCAATTTAAATTAGCTACTTTCGAAAAATTCAAAACAGATATGTTATTATCATCACCTCATATACATCGTGATTATGTACATCCTGATGAATTATCTCGTTTAGAAGACCTATTAAATATGATTAATTTACATATTGATCGTTATTCAAAACATGAATTAATTGAAGATAGTACAACACCAAATATATCACCAGCAACACCAAGACAACAAGAAAATCTTTCTTCATCAACACTTTCTTTTTATCATGATCAATCTTTTTATCAGTAAAACGACATATTTTTATTTTTAAATATTTATATGAAAAATAGTCAGATAAAATGATTTTTCTTTAGTAAAGAAATCATTTAAACAAGAAGAATAAAAATATTTTCTTTTAGATATATTTTCAAACAATTATTGATCATTAATCAACTTAAAATTGAATAAAGAAGAAAAAAATGAATTCACTATCAAGATGAATATTATTTTATTAGTATTAAAATTTTATGAACAACTTAATGAATATTTATGTCAATTTAATAATAAATATTTGAAAATAATTAAACAATAATGAAAATTTCATCTTTTCAATTTATTTTAGAATTTCTTGTTTTTACATGAAAAACTTTGACGAGTTTTTTTTTCTTCAATCAAATTAAACAATGACAAGCAAATAAAATAATATTGAAATTATTTATAGATTTTTTTTTCCAATTGAATAAAAATCATCTGAAGATCTTTTTTCAAACTTTACTGAAATGATTCATACGTATGCATTTCTCACAATAAGTTGAAAATAAGAATTTTTCTGTTATTCTTTTTCGAAAACAAAATATATATCTTTGAATTGTAATGCATATCGATCAGACCATTGTCAAACATATACGAATCAATCAAGATACAAGAGATTATTTTACAAAAAAATTATGTTCTATTCAATCACAATCAATAGCAATGTCAATATTGATATGAATGTACTGGAATTTGTCACAATTGGATGTATTTTAATGGTTATGTTAAACCTTCCATGGATCAATCAAGATTAACGAATGAATGATTGACAATTTGCCAAAATATTTTTTCTTCGATCTAAATGAAGATTAACTTGGTTGGAACTGTCAATTTACAGTTTATCAAAGTGAAAGAAATTTTTAATAAAAATAAATCGAAGAAGAACTTTGATTAATCATCTGATATATCAACAACAAAAAAAAGTCAAACTATTTTCTGTTGATCAATCTAAATAAAACAAGTTTCTGGTCAAACGATCGATTTTCATTGAATGTCATTGTTATTGTAAAAATATTTCTAGATAGAATTTACGATTAAATCTTTATATGATATGTCAAAAATGTGATAAATAAAATACTTTTGTTCATTTTTTAAAATAACCTCTATTAGTTAAAAACTTTCGCATAAATACAAACTAATTTATTTTCAACGAACCAATAATTGATTTTTATTGAAAATTCAAACAAATAGTAATAAATTTTAATCATATATTGATTAGATGAAACAAGAAGACAAAGATGATTCTTGTTGAGTCACTTTTATCTATTATTTGTTCTATTCTAAGCTGATTAGATCTAATGCATTGTAACATCAATAAACGAATTTTAAAAGTATTTCTCGAATCAGAATAGCCAAGTTGATAACAGAGAAATACCATTCTTTGCTCATTCATTCATTTATAAAGGATTTCTACTAAGAAAAAAGCATCATTCTTTTTTCCGATGTTTACGGTCACAAGAGCACAAGCATAAATCTATTTAATTGGTTGTTTATATAACCTTAGTAGAGTTGATAGATCAACATAAATATAAATACATATATTTATGTTCAATAAAGGAATTTGTCGAATGAATCGTTTATGAGCATTTTAAAGAAATAAATGAATATGCAATTGCTTCACTCTTTCATAATGGTTAATATAAAACTCAATTTAATTCTTCGTAGTCGAATATTTTCCTATTTGTTAAACATTATTGAAATAGTCATTTCAATAATCTGATAAAACTATTATCCCATACAAAACATGATCGATTTTGTTTCGAAATATTATCTTAAATTCGCCATAATATCAAAAGACTTGACTTTGAATCATCATTGATGAAATTTCTTCTTCTTGGTGTTGAACATTCATATATATATATTGTAGTAGAAATTAAAATCTTATTCTCTACTATATAGAAGAATTTTAAATTCTACTAGAAACTTATATTATGCAAATATGCAAATTTCTACTACAGTAAATATTTAAATACTCTTTTTGTTATTGATGATGATCTACAGAAGAACATGTTATTTATCAGTAACATGGAGAGCAGCACAAGAAATTATTGAATATACCGAAAAGTGAATACCTATTTATTTGGCTAACATTTCGTTTTAACAGCATGACGCTTTGTATCATACGGTACTTTGGTTATTTAGCATCGATAGTTTTTTTTGCAGCATAAACACTATTATAAGCACTGGCTTCTATAGCTGGAGTAAAATCGTTATGAACATAATCTTTATAAGTTTGAGTAAATTTGTGTTGGTAGTGTTTGAGAATCAATTGTACTTAGTCCCAAAAAACTACATTTTGTTAAATCAATGTAAAAGTGTGAGTGAGAGATGTTAGCGATGGTGCGGGTATGGATGAGTCACGGTGTGAGGTACGGTGTTCTTTGCACTAGCATCCAATCCCATAACACCACCTCACTCTTTCTTCTTTTTTCTTGAGACGTCATTATCAATATAAGCAGAATTTAAATTTCTACTACTGTAAAAATTAAAATACTTCCATAATATAAGTTTCTAGTAGAATTTTAAATTCTACTAAATTTCAATTTCTACTACAACATTTTTTTTAAAGAGAAAACAAATAAAATTTCATTTAGAATTGAATTAAATCTTAATTAAATAAGAAATTGATATTGAATTGATTTTTTTAGTTTGTGTTCTGTTTATTTTTTAATTTAAAGATTTAATCAAAACTAAAAACATAATAGAACAATTAGATAGATAGTTTCTCGAACTACAATTCAAGAGAAAAGATCGAATGATATATATTTATTTGAAATCAGTTTATTCTATTGAAAAAAAAAGTCCAAAGATCATGAATGTAAATAAATATTTGACAAGTTTTATCTTGTTCATGTTCAAATGTCAAATAATAATCGAGATAATAACATATAAATAAAATATTTTTGTTTTTGAGAATAATTCAAATTTATGGAAGGACAAAATGTCGAAGTGATTCATTTAATGGTGGTGAAAGTGATGAATGTTCAAGTGTTTGTCTATTAAGACCACCTATTTGAGATGAACAAAGACGTTTACGTATTCGATTTCGACAAATTTGTTTTAATTTTAATGGTGTTGAAAGTATTGTTGTTATTATATCAATTTCATCTGTTGCTTTATCAAAATGACTTCCTAAATCTTCTGTAAATAATTCAACAAGTTCATGATTTGTTAATGTTAATTGTTCATTTTCATACATAACATGAATTAAATTTCTAAGAATACTACCTGTATAATGTCTATCAAATTCATCATCTTCCATCAGAGTATCTTGATAACTTCGATTAAACCAAAGCCATATATGAACAAGTAAAACTTTATTATTTTCAAAATAATCAAGAAATAATGATGGTAAATCATAGGCAACAACAATCCAAAAATTTGATTCAAATCGACGAAATGCCGATAAAGAGTTTGTATAAAATTCTGTTAGTGATTTAAGTGATGAAAATCTACATTTATGACTTAACAGTAATTTTAATGTTTCTTCTCTATATTCAAATTGATAATCTAAATTATTAAGTAATTTCCAAACAATATCTAATGGTGTATGACCATTTAAATCTATAGGATTTTCTTCACATTGACCTTCTTCTAATAAAAGACTAATAATCTATAAAAGAATAATTTATTTTAATATAATAATAAAAAAAAGAAAAGAAAAATTTCTTCATTAAACCTCTGTTGAACATTTTCCAGCAGCAATATGTAATGCTGTTCTGTTTGTATATGGTTCTTTTATTTCTATATCAAATTTTTGTTTATAATTAAGTAAAATTTTAACTAATTCAATATAATCTTGTTTAATAGTAATATGAAGTGGATAATGAAACATTCCCATATCTTGTGCAACACGTGAATGCATTTCACGCATTTTTATTTTATGTTCATGTTCATTTGATAATGAACTAAAATAATTATCTGTTGCACTTGGTTTATCTGTTATATTTACATTTACATTTGTATTAAGAAAATATTCGACAATACGTGTATGTCCACAATAACATGATAAACAAAGAGCATTTAAACCCCAAGGTCTATTATTGATATAGAAAAAAAAAACCAACGAATTCTTTTTCGATAAAAAATATTTAATTAATTATTTTACCTCAATTTATCTGTATTTGCTCCATGTTCAATCAATAATTTAACGCAAGCTAATCGATCATGAAGAATAGCATAAAAAAGTGGAGATCGATAATCAAACATTGTACCAGAATCAGTTGCATCTTCATCCGATTGATAATCGTCTTCAACATCATGTAGACCATCTGCTTCTTTTGAACTATTTGCTATTGGCCGATAGGCAAATAATTTATATTGATTAACATCAATATCTTTTGATGAATTTAATGCTGATTTTAACTCTGCAAAATCACCTTCAATACATAATTCATGTAAATCAATTGTTTGTTGGTTTTCACCGGGACCAGCCATCGATTTGATTTTTGAAATTAATTAACGAGAACAAATAAAAAACAACACAACGACGAAGAAAAAAAAAAACTTAAGAAAAAAACGTTCATTGCTTTTAACATCATCCAATACAAAAAATGGATTGTGAAAGATGTCATTAACTATTAGCAAAAAAGATATATTTATCAAAAACTCGTCGATTATATCAGACTTGACTAATTAATAAACAAAAAAAAAACATTAAGTTTAAATCTAAATCATTATTTTTTATCTTCTCTTTTTATAAATGTCATTCGTGAGACAAAATCTTTTTGTTGCAAAAAAAGAAAAATGAAAATGGTCTTTGATAAACATTTAAGAGCAAAAGAAAGAAAAAGTAATAATTTCATGTTTCTATTAGAATGCTTTATTTTTTCGAATTTTATTCTTCTTATGATTTTTTTTCTCATATTGCAATATAGAATACAAGCTTTCATCTAATTGATCATGTCTGTTAATGAAATTGTTAATAATAGAATAAATGGATTCTTTCATTCTTGTGTTTTTGAAATCTATTTCATTATTGATAATGAATGTGCCTA